TTTATTTTTTAAGTTAAATTAATTTATTAAAAATTTACAAACAAATTTTAAAAAATTTTTGAGAAATTTAAAAAATAAAAATATGACTTGCGGACAAAACTTGCGGACTTTTCATATGAAAATTTTTTAGGAATTTTTTCAAAAATATTTCTAATTAAAGAAAATTTCTGAAAAAATCTATAGAAAATTAAAATTAATTTTCCTTATGAAAAGTCCACAAGTTTTGTTATATTTTTTTATTTCCACAAGAAATTTTTTTAAACCTTAGATTTTTTTAATAAATTTTAGAAAATTTTCAAAACATTTCTAATTAAAAAATTTTTTTGGAAATTAAAAAAATTTAAAATTTTTCAAAAAAATTTCCTAAAAATTTACCTTAATTTTTCTTAAAAAAGGGCAATGTTGAAGAAGAAGACGAATATTACTACAAAACATATCCAAATGGTAAATACAACAAAAAAGATTTGATAATCCAAATGCGTAAAAAATCTGTAAAACTAAGCAATGCCTCCAACAACAATAAAGAGCTTGACACAGTCCCAGAAATGAGTATTAAATTTTTGTCGCCTGAAGAATATGAATAAATTGCTGCAATGCAGTTAAATTATAGTAACATTCCAAGGTTTTTTTATTTATAAGCTTAAAATTGTTTTTTTTTTGGCGTACCAAGTGTTTGTTTAGGTAATTTTTGAGTTTATGGGCAAAATTTAGAGGACGCGCTGAACGGGATCCCGCGGGATTTTTTCGTGACTTATCTCTCGGGATCCCATTCCGGCATCGGTTAAGGAAAAAAATTCCGACTCGGGATCCCGGAAGTACATTTTACCGACCTCTAGTAAAATTAACGTGTCGGTAAATTTCCGTTCAGACATCGGATCTGGGGGAATCCGCCCCCACCCTTTTTAAATTTTCCCTGATTTCTCTTTTTTAACCAAAAAAAGAATTTAATTTTAGGGGTAGATAAAAGAGAAAACCAAACACTTGGAGCTTCATTAATTAAATATTTTTGAATACTTGTTGACTAATCTTATATTAACTTCTCCATAATCCTTTCATAAGAAAAGCTTTTTTATCAAGAATTTTTTTTTGATTTTTGAAATTAAAAATTGTTTTTTAAAAATTAATTTATATACCCATTTTTTGTTGTAAAAATGTTTTTACTAAAAATTAATATTCATAATCAGAACAAAACTGCTTTAAATATTAATGTATTTTTTAAAATTGTTTGTTTGATAAAGATATGAATATATAGTATAAAATACCCCCCCCCCCCTAAAAAAAAGACAAAACTACAAATTGTAAAAAACTAGAGGTTTTTATAAAACTTTTTACAATTTGTAAAAGGTTTAATTATTTTACAAATTGTAAAATGTTTTAAGTGTAATTATTTTACAATTTGTAATTTTTCAAATAAACTTTTTACAATTTGTAAAGTTTAATTTTAAAACTTTACAATTTGTAAAATGTTGTAAATTGTTTTTTACAATTTGTAAAAAGGTTGAACTTAAAACTTTACAATTTGTAAATCTAAATTAAATGTTTTACAATTTGTAGTTTTTAAATTTGAACATTCTACAAATTGTAAAAGTTAATTTTAAAACTTTACAATTTGTAAAAAGTTGTTAATTGTTTTTTACAATTGTAGAAAGTTAAATTTAAAAACCTTACAAATTGTAAAATGTTTAGCTAGGAACTTTTTACAATTTGTACTTTTTAAGGTTCAAATTTTACATCTTTTTACAAATTGTAAAAAGTTGGAATAATTAAAATTTCTAGTAAAAATAAGTTACAATTTATACAACCTAAAAATAATACAATATAATTACAACAATTAAAATAAATTAATTAGTAAATATAATTATTTATACCCTAACCTTTTTATTATTATTAGCTTTATTAGATATTGCCTTTTCTTTTTTCTTTTTTGGTCTAGCTGATGGTTGTGTTTCTTGAGGAAATTTAACCATTATTGGAGGGTTTTTATTGAATGCAGCTTTCATAAAAGCATCCCAAGCATTTTCAACCCATAAAGGAAATTTATAACGAATATATTTCTGAAAAAATAAAAAAAAATTCTTGGAAGAAATAATTAGAAAAAAATGTGTATGTTAAGAGATTGATCTCACCTTTGAGAGGGAGGGGGATTTGTGCACTAACGTAATCCCGGTGTCCCATTAACAGGAGTCTGTTCTCCTATACAAGAGAAGGATCTGGAATATAGACAAGACCGGGAAGAGATCTTGAACATAAATCTCAGTTAGAGTATAGATTTTCCGAGACATGAGTTCGATTCTCATACGAATCTGCATGTCCGATTTCTAGTTTTGGAGGCACAAAAATTTTTGTGAAATAATTTTTTGATGGAGAGGGGAGGGGGAGAGAGATTGACCACTAAAAATTACATTTTAAAAATTTCCTTACGATTGCTTCAGCAAAAAGTGATTGTAACAATACTTGCCCAATAATTAACATTGGTAAATGAACTGTCAAGTATAAACTTCTTGATGCTGTCAAATCCCCAAACCCAATAAGAGCAGCAGATTGGAAAACAAAATATACCGCTACCATATATGTCCAACGGCCTCCACATTCTTCTTTGCTTTCGAGGTACTAAAATTGGGGAAATTTTTTTGGACATTATGGTATCTTGACATTATGAGTTTTGGACGTTTTGAGAATTCACCATTTTTGGGTAGAGTTGTCCCGGAGCCATATTTTGGTCCATAACTTTTTGGGTTCTCAACAAATTATAATACATTTTTTTATCATTCGAAAGCCCTGGGTGTGCGGCTTATTTTCGCCAACTGGATTGATTTAATCAGATCATTCTACAAAAAGTTATATCTAGATAAATGCGCGCAATCGTGATTTTTGACCTTTATTAAGCCATAACTTTTTGTATGTTGATCTGATCAGAGCAATACTGTTAGACAAAATAGTCCTTACATCAAGAGCTTTCGAATGGTATATTAATTATCTAAATCCATTAAGAAATGAAAAAGTTAAGGGCCAAAATAAGGCTGCAGGACTCAACCGGCGGGACTCAACGACTCAACCGGCGGCCATTTTTTGAATTCAAAAAATACCATAGTAATGGCTCCTTGAATAAACAAATAGGACACGGCAATAAAAACTGTAACCAAAAATTTTTTCCATCTTGCAATTTTAATTTGGTGTCGTTTTTTGTTAAAAATTAGTCCATAGAGCCAAACAAAAATTAACTGATCAATTCTATCCTGAATATCTGCAGTAAATGCAAAATATAAGGGAATGCCAAGCATCGCATAGAAAATTGTAGCTATTCTGCCGGCTGAAGTTTCTGGGGCCTTTAAAGAAAAAAAGTTGACATTTTGAAATTTTGACGTTTTCCATTTCTCGAAAATGGGCATTTCGAGAAATGGACGTTATGAGAAATTGGGCATTTCGAGAAATTTTTTGGAATTTTTCCAAGACGTAAAAAAATTCATTTAAAAACTCCAAAAAATAACCTGAACACCATATCCAACAGTTGTAAACACACTTATTGAATAAGGTATCCCATCTCTAACAACATCAGCAAATGGTTCATAACTAAAAAGTGAAAAATAATTTTTTTTAATTTTGAATAAAAAACCTGGATCCACAACCTGTTTGGTTAGTTTGGTTGTTTGGTTTGTAAGGCGATTGTACTGCACTATGTTTGCTTTCAATTCGCTAAAAAAATTATTTTTTTAATTTGGGAGTTGGGCCTAGGAATTGGGTCAGGCTCACTTTTTCCTGAATAAAGGAGCCTTTATAGGATTGGGATATGGTAAACCAAATCCGAGAGAAGTCCCATTACTCTACCTATTACTCTAGAGATCGAACTGGGACAAGTCGGGATTTTCCTTGATTCCAGGTTTCCTCCTGGATCTGACTATGTCCCAAGTCCAAGGACGGATTCAGGAACATATATAGAATTGAGTAAAGTAAACAAAATCCTGACGGAGTCCTATTAATCTAGAGATGGAGCTAGGCCAAGCCCGTATTTTTCAGAACACAGGTTAGGGATGCTTTAGGTTCTGGAGACGGTCCAGGACTTAGAGACTTCATATTCCAGGTCTCCAGAACATAGAGACTCCAGATCCAGCATTCCAAGTCCAGACCCTTATCTTTAAAAAATCTCGATTTCTGTTACTCTAAGGAATCTGAATGGCCTCCCACTTAATAATTTAAGCCTTAAATTAGAATATTCAAAAAAACCGTAAACATCCAAGCACCAAAGAAAGCATAAGCATAAAGAAAAGGCAAATAAATAAAAGGACACATAATAGACAATGTTCGTTCCCCCATCAACATTCGACTCGTAACCGATCCAACATCGAATTGGTCGCTGTCTATTCGTCGTGCCTTTTTGGGGTTTACAATGTTTGTATTCATTTTTGTTAAGAATTAGCTTTAAAAAAGGAAAAATTTGAATAAAATTAATGAGAAGTGCCCCCAAAAAAATCAAAAAAATTATGCCCTTAATCAGCTGAAGAAAACCCAAAATGCCGATGAGACAACGGAGAAAGGAGAAAAAAAACAAAAGAGACCAAATTCCGACGACCACTGAGAAAATCTTTTTTATCTCTCTTTAAATATGAGAGAATTTTTCATTTTTGGACGAACTGTCCATTTATCAACAGTTTGGCAAAATGACTGTTTTTTAAAAATTTTAAAAAAGTAGAATAGGTCACTTCGTCGCCACAATTTCAGTGTCCTTCAAAGAGGACGTTTAAGCGCAGTTTTTGGGTGCCCATTATTTCTTAGGCGATTAGAGAAAGAGAAAATAGCGTTTCACCATATTTTGCCAACAAAGCTAAAAATTGACGTTTTGCCAATAAGGCTAAAAATCGACAATTTGCCAATAAACTGGAAACTTTATTAGCAAAATATGGAGGGAGCCGAAAATAAATATTTAATAAAATTTATTTAAGAATATTTATTGAAAATCAAAAACAATTCTTAAAAAATCAAATTTATCAAAAAATCTATCAACTCTATTTTCGTTCAGGAATTGCACATTTAACAGCGCATTCTCTTTTAAAATTAGAGTAATCCCCAACAGGCCCTCCATTACACTTTTCAGCACATTTTTGGTCCAAAATGGGGGCTACTCGAACTGTTGCGGGTAATTCTCCATGACATTCAATATAACATTCTCTTCCTCTTTTTAACGGGGATGGACGGCATTGCATTTTACATTCTGGTTGTGGTTTGTTTGAAAGAGGAGAAGTTGAATTTTTGGTGTCCGTCTAGAATTTTTTTGCGAATTTTAAATTAATTTTTTTTGGGGGGGGGGGGACTTGTTAGGGGACTGTGATTTAATTTTTGGTAAGGGGAGGGATGGGGTATTCGAAGAGTTTGTGTCGGTCCCAAGTATCCAGGACATAGAGACTCAAGGTCCAGCTTCCCAAGTCCGGGCCCTTATCTCTAAGAGGAGAGGGTATTCGAAGGGAAACAAAATTTGGGAACTTGAGTGAACTACAAGGGAGAACTATTCCCCAATCTTTTGAAGGAGTTCAACAAAAATTCCCCCAAAAGAGAATTTTTCTTCTTAGGGAAAGACACTTCATTCCGTCTCCCAAAAAGCATAATTTTAAATAAAAAAATATTTTTTCCGCTCACCACTGTATTATTAACAGGTTGTACTTGAACACTTTCACGTCTAACAATTGTTGAGTTTGAAAAGGTTAGAAATTCAAAGGCAACAATTAAAAATAAAGAAAATAAAAGGAGCTTCATTTTCAATAAAAATTTTTTTTTTCAAAAATTTTTTTGAGCAAAAACTATTTCTACTCTAAATAGAGCGAGAAAAATTTTATTAAATAATTTATATAAGTATTCTTTACTTGAAATTTTATGCAAAAATGAGTCCCACCCTTTTACACCTAGAAACTTTTTTAAATAAAAATGATTTATATTAAAGGCAATTAATTAATTTTTGTAAGGAAACGGAAGGGAAATATTTTTACTCTCTTCTTTTTTTACACCATTTTTAAGTCGAGAAAGAAGTGGAAAACCAAAAGCCAAAAATATTGGAAAGGGAGAGAAGACTCTCAAATATAGGCACCAAAACGTAAGCATCTCTCTTACCGTCTCTCTTCTTTAATTCGCACTGAACGAGGGCACTGAAACGTCCCACTATTAATTCTCTTATTCGACTTTCACATTTTACCAATTCGACATTTTGCCAATAAGGATTAAATTACTCGTTTTGTCACCAAACTAATTGGCGGAATATGTATTTTTAGCCTTATTGGCAAAATGTGTTGTTGACATTTTCTTTTCATTTCCTTCTTCTTCTTTTTCTGTCTCTCTTATTTCCCGTCTCTCTTCTTTTTACGCACTATTTTTTTATTCCGGCTTTGGAAAATACCGATTTCGAAATTTATTATCCCTTGTCTTTAGGCGAGTAGGGATTTAAGTTAACCATTTTTAGAATACAAATTAGAAGCCCTTATAGAAAACTTCTATAGAAAAGTGTAAGGGGGATTCTTCTGTTTTTCTTTAAATTCATGTTCGGAAAAAGATAAAAAGAAAGAAGAAATAGTGTGTTAAATTTAAACAGGCGCTTTTTTAATTAGCCCAAAACGGCGCGCGGCCATAACGGCGCAAAGCCATAACTACCTGAAAATTTTCTTTACCTTAACATTTTTGGTACCAATCTCCTTATCACAATGAGAGGAACCGTTTAATGCTAAATTTGATAAGATTAAAAAATCTTGGAGCAAGTTGTGGCTTTGCGCCGTTATGGCCGCGCGCCGTTTTGGACATGTCCCGCTTTTTTTGTTTTTATACATAAAATTTAATGCGACATCATTTTTTATTTTTTTTGTTTTTATTTTTTGATTGTTTTTAATTAATTTTTTAAATTTTTTTCAGAGATTTTGGAAATAATTTGACAAAAATTTATTTATTCTTTTTATTTTGGTTATTTATTAATTAATTTAAAAATTGAAGAAAAATGGCTGAACAAAGACAGGTTTATTTTGTGTTTAAATTTAAATTAATTTTTTTTAATTTGAGGATACTCTAAACAAAAGAAAAGTGTTTACTAGAAGCGATGCTGTTGTTGGGGATGATGAGAATAAGGAGGTGTCTATAAAGCAGGCTGAGTCTCCAAAGAAGCAGTTAACGAGAGGTTGAATTTGTTTGGTTTTATAAGGGTTTTAGTGGGTTTTTAACTGCTAGCTGTAAGAAAAGTCTAAATTGCCTTTTCTTTGTTATTTTTTAAACAAGGGAAAGCAATGATGAAAAAAGGTTCTTTGTTAGGTTTTGGACTGTGGACATATACTTATGTTTTTTGGGTACCTTTGTCCCCCCTAATGATTTTGGAATTCCAAATTTCTGGTCTAGGATACTAAGTTTTACTGAGAAATTGGAAGATTTACTAAAGCCATTAGGTACATGCCACGTTTCTAGAAAAAGTTTAAGGATTAAATGTTTTATGATATCTTGGAGCACCTGGGTTATTTGATTGCGTTAAGCTTCTCAGGCTTATTTAACTTAATTATTATTGAGTTTTGGATACTTTTTTTCTGCTACAGAAACTTAAAACTGATTTCTTTAAGTTAAACTTCTTTTTGAATTTTTAAAATAAAAAAAATTTTTTTTAAGATCTTTCATATGCCGATTCTATGGGTATTGATGTTTTACGTTTTGTGGAGAACACACTTCATAAGAATGCTAAAGATCGGGAATTTTTGCTTTTTATTGAAGAGGAGACGAGGAAATTTGTTGAGGATGAAAGGTTTATTTTATCTTTTAAATTTATTTTTTTAAATTTTGGTGGACATTTGGTCCCAATTTTTCGATTTTCAGTTAAAAATTTGTTTAAACTAATTTTTATTATTTTTAATATTTTCTAGCAAATCCTATCATTGGTTTCCTCCAACATCTTCCTACAATCGAATGGTTTTTTTATTTTTAAAATTTTAAATAATTTTTTTATAAAAAGTTGATTCATCGTGTTGCGGCTTTCTTTGGGCTTATTCACAATGTGGATCAAAGTGGACAACAAGTGGTGATTACTAAACAGAAGGGGCATACACGAATGTTTGTTTTACTTTTTTTAGGGGATTTTTTAAAGGAAATCCGAAAAAATCCAAAAATGGACATTTGGTCCCAAAAAATATTTTTCTTTCTCAAATTGGTTTTTTAAATATAATTTTTGTTTTTTTTCAGTTTCTACTTAAGAAATTAATTTCTTTTTTATTTTATAGTCCTGATATCAAGTTCAGTTCGTTGATTAAACATTCAAACTTTGAAGACAAATTTCATTTTGGACGGCGAAATGTGCAGAGTTTTGATGAGGTTTCTTTTTATTTTAATAGGTTTGAGAAATCCTTATCTTTTCGAATATTTTGGACAAAAATTTTATAATCTTTATCAACATAATTACTAGAGACAGGCAAAATTTTATTGCAGAATCCCTCAAAATATCGCATGGGATCCCGTTTCTAGCCGGTCTTTCCTCAATCATTCCTCTTTTCTAGTCTCTTCGTAAAATGCATATTTTTGATCAGCAATTGGAAACAACACATTTTTCCTTTTTGTTGTAGATTTATAAGGATTAGAAATTAAATTTCATAGTCACTTACTAGTGTTTCGTTTTAACTTCAGTTAAGGGATTTTTTTTGGTTCCGGTCCGGCCAAATTTGGTACTTATTTATCCTGTACTGGTACTTACCTATCCCCAACCCTTCTATTAATTTTTAAAAAATAAAAAAAAATTTCTCATTTTTTCAAGTCAAACATTTCGACACTTGGAAATCATCGAAACACTACAACTAATTTTGGCGGGCCACCTCCCTCATCATTTCGTCCATTTCGGAATCGTTTTTATACTTCTGGAAGTTCACAATTTAACAACAACAATAACAAATCTAGACGTACACGTTCTTTTGAAATTTCTGATTGGACAAATTCTTCAACAACAACTTTGTTTAATCAACAACAACAATTTACTGCTTGGTTACAACCTTCAAATTTGGAAATTGTAACTGGTGGAGGAGAAGGAATGAGTACTTCAAATTGTAGTAGTAGTGCAAGTAGTGGGGCTGTTATTCATCATCAAATGGCTGTTGGGGGAAATGGAAGTTGTGGAGGGGGAGGAATTCCTTTCCAAATTTATCCGACAGGACAGATTGTGTTGACTAATGAGGTTTTTCTTTAAATTTTATTTTGGGGGGGGGGGGGGGCGGGGAGTCATTCACGACACTTGATTTTTGAATACCATAAATGCTAAGGAGGCCTATTAAAAAGTAAAAATAATAATAAAATAATAAACACCCATTCCCTAATATAAGCTCACCCCAAAGAGACCTATTGAAAACTAGACGCCCAGAGCGTCTTTTTTTACTGGACAGATTGTGGTTTCTAGTCTCAATCAGGTCAATAAGAGAGCTCATTGTCAGTCAGATCGATAAATTCAAAAATTAGCTGTCAGACCAAACCGTGTTAAATCGTGGTTTCTAGCTGGGGATGGATTGGGTTCAAAGAAAGGGTTGTGGTCTCAAAAGTTCAAAGTTCAGGTGTCGAGTTTTAAGTAACCTGACCGTTCCCTGGTTTCTAGTAATAAATTTTCTAGTAACTTAGTTTATACTAACGTTGAATAAATTTTGAAAAATTTAAAAAAAATCTAATTTTTTAAAGCCGTCATTAATTTCGCCAACTAGTGCTTTTAGTGAACCAATAATCACTAATAATCAACAACAACCACTACAACAACAACAACAATTACCACCAATAATTCAATCAACAAATGGAATTGGTGAAAAAAGTGAGGAAGGAGGAGGAGAAAAAGATGAGCAACAATTAAATAATTTAAATATTTTAGAACAACATCAACAACAACGTTCACAAATTCCTTCACTTTTTTCAATACAACCATTGATGTCACCACCTATAATGCCACAAAATACAGCTACAAATATATTGCCTAATCAGCAACAATATATTAATCCGTATATGGCTTTGCAATACCAATATCAGGTTTTTTTATTTTTGAGTTTTTGATTTTTAAAAATAAGAAAATTAAATTTGGGATCAAATGTCATCTGAAACATTTTTTGTCGAATTCTTTCCAAAAATAATATTTTTGAGATTCGGATAGCAAATATTGATTTTTTAAATATATATAAATTAGTTTTGTACAGGTTTTTTTTATTTTTTATTTTTAAAAATAAAAAAATTTAAATTTGGGATCAAATGTCATTAAAAAATTTTTGTCGGATTCTTCCCAATAAATAATATTTTTGAGATTGGGATAGCAACTATTGGTTTTTATATATATAAAAAAATTATTTTGTACGTTTATAAGCAAGTACGGAATTAAAATTGGGTCAAAATATTTATTTGGGACCAACTGTCATCAAAAAAATTTTTTCGATTTCTTTCCCCAAAAAATTTTTCTATTTAAAAAACAAATATTTTATGGGTTTCTTAAAATAACTTTTTTAAAAATCTTTTAAATTTATTAACAAAAAATTTTTATAGCCAATGATGATCAATAATGCTGCAAATCCAGCCCAATACCAATATTTTACTGATAATGGTTAAATTAAAAAAAATTATTTTTTTAAATTAATTTATTTTTCTATAGCTAATATATTGCACTACTACCCAACTTATTATCCAATTTATCAACCTCATCAACAACAACAAACTTTCATTGATCCGTATCATCCTTTGACTGAGGAAAATGTAAGGGGAGAGTGTTTTTTCTAAAATTTTTTTTGGGAAATGAATTAGGAATCGAATTAGAATTTGGGAATCGAATTGGGATTACTAGAATAAAAAACAAAGGAAAAAATCACAAAATTATTTTAGCGAGTAATTATATGAAAACAATTTTTTTTGATGACATTTGATCCCAATAATTAATTCTAATTTTTAAATGAATTATTCGAAAAAAAAATTTTTGGGGGGAGGGTTGAATAGGTGAGGATTTATAATATAAAAAATTAGAATTAATTATTGGGATCAAATGTCATCAGAAAATTTTTTTGCGATTTTTAACTTTTTTTTTGTTATTTTCTGATTTTCATACCTTTAAAGCTTAAGTAAATAAATTTTTAAAAAATTAAATTTGAAGGACAATACAAGACCATCAATAATCGAAAAACAATTTGAATCATTATCAATAAATCAAGAAGGAACGACGCCTCCAAAATGTAACAACAACAACGGTAATAATAATAAAAATAATAATAATGGTGTTGGGAAGCCTAGTACTTGCTACTAGTTGAAGAGGAAAACTACGGGGAAAATAAATAAAAATAAAGTGGCCAAAAAAATTAATTTAAATTTTAAAAAAAATGAAGAGAAAGAGGGTATGGAGTGGTTGGACACAATATAATTAAGTTAAAAAAAAGGTTTTTTTTAATTTTTTAAATTTTATGTTGATTAAATTTTTCTCGTTTATTCAAAAAAATATGTAAAACATTATGTATTAGGGATGTGCTCTTTTTTTTCCCAGCTTTTTTTCTTCCATAAAAAAAATTTTTTTTTTGCTAGCAAGGGAACATACTAAACTGTGAATCACAATTTTGTTTATTTTTTTGGTACCATTCGGTAGAGCATCATCGATTTACTCTAAACAATTTTCTTTGTTTTTTTTTTGACTAGGAATGTGCTATAAAAGCTATGGTGCTTCAAAGTTTGCGATAATTAGGAACGCCAAACCAAAAAACTCGTTCAAAAATTTGAACGAGCTTTTTGGCCGCAGGCAATTCGAGAGGCCCTTAAAAAGCTTATTCTATCCACTCACTAATTTATCAAACAAAAAAATAATAAAAATAATAATAATTAGGAACTCCCCTATAAATGAGTGGAATTTCCCTCCACACAGTTTTGACTCACAGTTTGGTATGTTCCCTTGTAAGACAGAATTTTCCCCAGACTTACATTTTTTTAAAATAAGGAAGGATGCCCATCCCTGATATAAACACACCTATATACCTAAATTTAAAAAGAAGCACATAAAGTTAGCTCGGTGGTTATAAAAAGAGATTTGGAAGGGATAACTTTTCGATTTAGATAGGATTTTAAATTACTAGAAAAAATTTTTATTTCAATCTCTTTTTTGCCTTTTTTCTGCTTACAAAAAAAACGAATAGACACACATACACATATTTACACGATACTCAATTTTAATTAATGTAAACCTAAAGGAAAAGAGACTGGACAGAGAGGCACCATATTTTATTTTTTAGAGAATCTTCAAGGGGTGACAAAATATCCCAAAAACCTCTAAATTGTTGTAGAGATTTTTAGAAATATTTTTTCGAGTTCAATTGAATTTCAATAATTATTCCCTCAAGCCCGGTCTCTAACAAAAATAAACCCATTATTTCTCTCTAATTTAAATATAAAGTACAAGTGTGTAAAAGAATAAATAAATGTTAATTAAATGGAAAATTATTTTTTTTTAATTTTAGGTAAAATAAAATTTATTAAATTTAAAAATTAAAAAAAAAGAAAGGCAAGTAAAATATAAAAATTATATAATTTAAACGGCAGTAAAAAGAAAAATTTAAAAAAATTAAAATTAACAACCACTCAACCCTTTAACATTATCTGGACATACACAAGTAAAAGCACCAACATAAGCACCTGGCAGACACCAATGTGTACATTTGTGTTCTTTTTGGATACACTCGGAGGGTGCGGTGTTGAAATGACATTTTACTGGAAGACTTAGGATTCCATAAAGTTTGCCTGAGGGAAATTTAAGAGTTTTGTGGGGAATAAAACGAATTGTTGTTTACCCCTTCCTCCAGCACCAGGATAGAATTCTGTATATCCTCTTCCGGTAATGTCGATAGAATGGATTTTTTGACTTGAAAAAAAATTTTTTTTAATTAAAGGGAGGAATGGGTGGAATAAGCTCAGTAAACCCTCTCGAATTGGCTGCGGCCAAAAAGCTCGTCCAGCTTTTTTCGGATAAAAATCGGAAAATACATATTTTTTGTTTGATAAATTAATGAGTGGATAGAATAAGCTTTTTAAAAGCCTCTCGAATTGCCCGCGGCCAAAAAGCTCGTTCAAATTTTTTTCGAATTTTTCGAGTCCCAGCAATAATAAAATTGCCATCTACTTACTCTTTCCAATCTGTCCAATAAAAACGCTCTTCTAAACTGTCAGCAGTCAATCCAAAAGGGTATTCTAATGGAGCATATATCTTTTTAAAAGAAATTTTCTTTTAATTAAAAATTAATTTTATTTATTTACCACTTTCCTATTAGACCCATCCAAAGCACTGCATGAAAGCCTAAAAATTAAATTATTTTTTGATAATTAAAAAATTTCCAACCTTTGATTACCAGCATCTGCCCAACATAACCTTCTACTAGTTTGAAGCATTACTAGTCCATTAGGTAAATGTATTTCATCAGAAATTATAACTAAAATTAAAAAATACAAATCAGAATTTATAGAAACGAGAAAAATTAATTTTTAAGTTCAAGCTTAAGTTTATTTTTACTTTCAAGTTCAATCTTAGGCTTAATTTAATATTTAAGCTTAAGCTTAAATTTGTTTTAATTTTCAAGTTCAATCTTAAGTTTATTTTATTTTTAAGTTCAATCTTAAGTTTATTTAATTTTCAAGTTCAAGCTTAAGTTTATTTAATTTTCAAGTTCAAGCTTAAGTTTATTTAATTTTTAAGTTCAAGCTTAAGTTTATTTAATTTATTTTTTAGGTTCAATCTTAAGTTTAAGCTTAAATATGTTTTAATTTTCAAGTTTAATCTTAAGTTTAGTTTAATTTTTAAGTTTAAGCTTAAATTAAGTAAATAAAAATCAAAATTTAATAAAAACATTTCCCCCTTTACCTTTATTTCCACTTCCATCCAAACCAATTCTTCCAATTTTTGGGGCATCTCTCGACCAATCAGAATAAAAAAGTTGACGACTTTCCATATCAATAACTAATGCCCTTGGATTATTCAACCCTTCTTTTAAAAGTGTTTTTTGAAATTTTCCATTAATAGACAAAACACCCAGTTCGTTTTTGATACTATCAACATAATAAATATTTTGTGAACGCCAATCTATTGCAATACCTTGAAAGGAAAGAGAATTTAAAAATCAGAATTTTTAAAGTCAGAATTTTTAAAATCAGAATTTTAAAAATCAGAATTCCCAAAAATCAGAATTTAATAATAAAAATTTACCTTCCGGCGATTTAAGCAAATCACTAAATTCAGAAGTAATTTCTGTACCATTTAAAAATGCAGAACGAATGGAATGGCCTAAAAAATAAATTTCTGAATAAAATAAAAAAAAGATTAATTACCAGAAATGTCACTCCAATATATCCTTTCTGAAAAATAAAATTTTTTTAATTATTAAAAAATCAGAATTATTGTAAAACAAAGGGGAAAACACATTAAAACACAAACAAAACAGAAATTCTGATTATTAAAAAATACAAACCAGAAATACAGTCATAGTCGATATCTACAACTGTTTGATGTGGCTGTACAATTAACTTTAAAAATAAAAATTTATTTTATAAAATCTTTTAGTTTACCTGTCTTCCTGATTCATCCAAATTAGGAATTGAAGACCTTTGAATAATAGCCATTCCACGCCCAATTAACAATTTATCTGGTGTTTCTTTTGTTTGTAGAATTTTTGCTGTAAATTAATGAATATTAAAAAGAATTCTGATTTAAAATAAAAGAAAATACAAATCGGAATTTTTCAAAAACATTTAATAAAATTTCTGGTCATTAAAAATAAAATACAAACCAGAATTCCAACAAAACACAAATAAAACACACACATTAAAAAATTCTGATTTTTTAAAACATAGAAAACAAATCAGAATTTTAAAAAACACAAAAACCAGAATTTTCTTTTTAAAAAAGAATTCTGATTGTTTAAAACTTAAGAATAAAAATCAGAATTTCTTCAAAACAAATTAATTTAAAAACACATCAGAACAAAATTAAAACAAACCAGAATAAACTAAAAACAAATCAGAATAAAATAAAAACATACGTTCACAAATCTTTCCATCCCCATTAAATCCATAATTACAAACACACAAATAAGAAGCTTTTTGGCCATCAGGTAAACACTGAGCATTAGGGCTACACATTTGTGGACGATCCAAACAATTTTCTGAACAAGGAAAAATTCTTTTTAATTAAAAACACAAATACCTACCTTCTCTACATTCAAAACCATTCCCAGTAAATCCAGGGTTACAAATACAATTCCAAATAAATTCTTCTTTTCCCCCTCCCAAAAGTTGTTTAACACATTGTGAATTAGCCCCGCATTGTTTGCAACGATCAACAGAAGAAGGTGGAGGTTCTGTTGGTTCGAAAAGACACTTTCCGTCTGCTTGTTTTATAAACCCTTGATTTAAAATAAATTTATTATAAATAAATAATTATTTTTTAATCACCATTTTTGCATTGACAAGCAAATTTGCGAAGAGAATGTTCAAAAACACATTCTTGATTGGGGTGTGGGCAAGCCTGAATGTTTGTTGGACTACACTCCTCTGAAAACAATTAAATATTATTCTAAAATACAAAGAAAATACAAAAATCAGAATTTATAAACAAAAATTCTGATTATTTAAAAAACATTACCAGAACTTTCGCATTTGTCAACTCCATCCCCTTGAAAGCCTGGTACACAAAAACAATAGTGTGTATTTGTTTGTTCTGAAAGTAGACAACTTCCAAACACATGACAACTAAAAATCAGAATTTTATTTAAACGAAGAAAATACAAATTCAGAATTTGTTTAAAACAAATCAGAATTTCATCCAAACAAAAGAAAACACAAAAACAAATCAGAATTTCATCCAAACAAAAGAAAACACAAAAACAAATCAGAATTTCATCCAAACAAAAGAAAACACAAAAACAAATCAGAATTTCATCCAAACAAAAGAAAACACAAAAACAAATCAGAATTTCATCCAAACAAAAGAAAACACAAAAACAAATCAGAATTTCATCCAAACAAAAGAAAACACAAAAACAAATCAGAATTTCATCCAAACAAAAGAAAACACAAAAACAAATCAGAATTTCATCCAAACAAAAGAAAACACAAAAACAAATCAGAATTTCATCCAAACAAAAGAAAACACAAAAACAAATCAGAATTTCATCCAAACAAATAAAAACACAAAAACAAATCAGAATTTCATCCAAACAAATAAAAACACAAAAAATCAGAATAAAACAAACTCGCTAGAATCTGAACATTGTTTCCGTGTTTTTGGAACAATTCCGGAAGGGTTGTTGTCGTGTGTTTGTAAAACATTTTCTTCCTTCTCTTTTAATGTTTGTTGTTGATTATTAATGTTTGTTGTTATTGTAGTTTGCTTCGTTTCCGGTAAACATTCAAAATTACTTCCTTCACCAACTTTATAATAACCATCAGAACAAAAACAAATATAATGTTCATGTTTTATAGAATATTCGCATTTTGCATTATCCCCGCATTCATCAGAATTGTGACAAATTTCCCCTATAAAAATATTATTTTTTTTTAATTTTTTATATTTTTATTTTCATGCCTCGATTGTGAGTAATGATAACAGGTTGTTGCGGTTGTGGTTGATTTTGTTGTTGTTCGTCTAAAATTCTAATTTAAATCTAAAAATTAATTTTTAAAAATTTTACCTGGAGGTCCACAATGAGTAATTCCATCACCTACATACCACCCTCGGCTCCCGGAGATTTGGGGAGTGGGCATTTGGGGAGTGGACAATTGGGGAGTGGAAATTTGGGGAGTGAGCGGACATTTGGAGAGTGGACAATTGGGGAGTAGACATTTGGGGAGTGTGGATTAAAAAAATAATTTAAAAATAGATTTTTTGGACAATAAAAATAATTTATACACTAGTGAAGGTGTTTTTGTGGAGTTTAAAAGAGTAAATTCAATTCCCCCTCCTTTTTCCTTCTTCAACGTATTAAAAAATGGTCAGTCAATTTTAGGTTATAGAACTGAAAAAATCGAAAAATTGAAAATTTTGAGAAAAAGGAAGAAATTTTGTCCATTGGCCTTCTAAAATTCTAAAAACTTTCACCTGCGGCGCTAAAACGTGAATTTTTCATATGCCTATGGTAGAGTTGGAAAAAACGATACTGGTATCGGTCAACCCGAGACCGAGATTGACCGATACTCAAGAACCCGATACCACCATTTTGAGCCGAGACCGATACCGAGAAACGATACTGACCGAGATGAGTGTATAAATTATTTTTATTGTCCAAAAAATCTATTTTTAAATTATTTTTTTAATCCATACTCCCCAAATGTCTACTCCCCAATTGTCCACTCCCCAAATGTCCGCTCACTCCCCAAATTTCCACTCCCCAATTGTCCACTCCCCAAATGCCCACTCCCCAAATTTCCGGACACGCCACCCTCTACATTTACATTTCCCTGGATATCCAGGAATTAGTCCAAATAAACATTCACCGAAAAAGGAAAAAAAATTTTGATTAAAAAATTATATAAATTTACCCCATCGATGGCATTGATCATGTCCAGTACATTCTCCAAGTTGTAATGAAGCAGGAGAACCCGTGGAAGGCGCGGGAAGAACAATATTCTCCAATTTATCAACTAAAAATAAAAAGGTTCGTTATTAAATTGTTTATTGCGTTTACAAGTTCAAACTTAAATTTATTTATTTTCAAGTTCAATCTTAAGTTTGTTTTATTTTTACATTTAAAGCTGAATATATTAACTTCCAAGTTCAATCTTAAGTTTATTTTTATTTTCAAGTTCAATCTTAAGTTTGTTTTAATTTCTAAGCTTGATCTTAAGTTTATATTTATTTTCAAGTTTAATCTTAAGTTTTTAATTTTTAAGTTTGATCTTAAGTTTGATTTCATTTTCAAGTTCAGGCTTAAGTTTATTTTAATTTCCAAGCCTGATCTTAAGTTTATTTTATTTTTAAGTTCAAACTTAAGTTTATTTTAATTTCTAAGTTTAATGTTAAGTTTATTTTTATTTTCAAGTTCAAGCTTATTTATTCAATTTTTAATTATAGTTAATATAATTTTTAAATGCTTTTAAAAAATTGCACCTAATTTGCAAACCATTCCTTGCTCAACACTATCATCCTCAAATAATCTAAAACCAGGTCTACAATCGCATCTATAACCCGGATTGTATGGTATTTGGACACACAACATATTTGGTAAATTACAAAAATTGCGACCAGAAGTACAAGCATCCTTTAAAAAAATTTTTTTAATTTTTGTTGATTTTTTGAAGAAGAAGAGCAGGAAGATGCTCTCGACCATAAATCACCCGTGGGTACCCTTTTCCAAAAAAAATATTTTTTTTTTCACCTGTGTTCCACCACTATTATCTGGAACATGTCCTACACTTGTCTCAATTATTGGTTCTCGTTCAAACTTTTCTCCTTCATTAAATATACTAGATTGTGAAGCAAATCTAACAACATTTTCAGTTTGGTCATAAATGGCATTTACACGTTCAAATTTGACAGTGAAAGAATCTGGTCCTCTAGGCTCTTTATATGGACATTCTGTGAAGTGGATTTGTTGGTCTACAGTAACCCGGAATTTTTGTTCCTCACTGCCTACACCACGCAAAAGAATATAACGTTCAGAATAGGACCTCAACATTCCTTTAGAAAAATAAAAAATATTTTTTCCCAATATTATTAAATTGCCTTGTTTTTCAACTCGATAATTTTCTTCAAATTCAGGAATTGAAATTTGAACTGGTCCAGATATTTCGGGTAAGGTACCGCTAAGTACAACGTTAACATGAAATTGTTCATCAAATTGACGATCAGTAAATTCTTGACGAATGACAAGTGAATAACGGTCACCTTTTAATTAAAAAATCAGAATATAAAAATCAGAATTTTAAAAATCAGATTTTCGAAAAATTAGAATTTCAAAAAATCAGAATTTTAAAAAATCAGAATTTCAAAAAATCAGAATTTTAAAAATCAGAATTTCAAAAAATCAGAATTTTAAAAATCAGAATTTCAAAAAATCAGAATTTTAAAAAATCAGAATTTCAAAAAATCAGAATTTTAAAAATCAGAATTTCAAAAAATCAGAATTTTAAAAATCAGAATTTCAAAAAATCAGAATTTTGGGAAATCAGAATTTAAAAAAATCAGAATTTAATTTCAGAATTCTAAAAACCAGAACTTTGGAAAATACAAAAATAAGCATTAAAAAATCAGAATTTAATAATTAATTAACCTACCCAAGTGTATATTAACAAGTCTTGTAAAATTTCCCCCAGTCAATTCAAATCCATTTTTGCTTTGAGAAGTTGCTGAAGATTTTGCAAATAACCAACCAAAAGGAGTACTTAAAGAATCAACCAAAAGTAAAGACCACCCAATTTCTGAATCAATTTTAGCTAAAGCAGTGTGTTGTTGGCCGTCAGCCGGTTGGATATAAGCTTTAAAAAGAAATTTTTTTAATCAAGGGAAAAAAATAAATTACAAAAAAGTTCAGTTTTCTGTACATTTTTCCCATTTATTGCACCTTGAAAATCACCATTAATACGTATCGCTTCTTGTTGAGGCAAACATTCTGCTCCATTGCCAATATATCCTTGTTCGCACTGACAGCAATAACCGCTATTGAAAAATCAGAATTTTTAATTAAAAACACAAAAATCAGAATTTTTTATTCTGATTTTTATTTTGACAGAAAACATTAATCTGACAGAAAACAAATCGACTTAAAAACCTAAGCGTAAACTTAAAAATTAAAGTTTAAAGTTGAAAACTTAAGTTGAAGAATTTTTAGTAAAGAACTCAAAAATCAGAATTAATATTCATTTTTAAATCAGAATTTTCATTTTCAGAATTTACCAATTTACCTCCTAAATTGGGAACAATAGGCATGAGCATGGCACTGACTAGAAGATGTTAGCGGAGCACAGCTTAAATCAGGAGAACGCTGAATTGTTGTCTTTGGTTGTTGATGGATATTTTGTAGAGGTAATTCTTGACCCAAATCTTTTAATTTTTTAAATTAATTTTCAAAAATTAATTTTATTTTACCGTTTGTAAGAGTAGAATAAGGAGACCCAGCCAAGTTTTCAGAGGAAGAAGAAAGCACACCTTTAAAAAATTTTTGTGAGATAAAACTTAAAAACTTAAGGTTGAGCTTAAGAACTTAAAAAATTAAGTTTGAACTTAAGAACGTGAAAACTTAAGTTCAAACTTAAAAAATTAAAAATAAACTTGAACACTTAAGATAGAACTTGAAAACTTAAAATTAAACTTAAGTCTAAACTTGAAATTTAAGAGTGAACTTAAAAACCTAAAATTGAAAAAAACTTAAGTTCAACCTTAAAAATTATTAAAATTAAAAAAAAACTCACTAGAACATATACAAAGACTACAATGTTGGTCATCCATCACCAATTTACAAGTTGGTGGACATTTATCTCTGTAAGGGTCTGGAGGACACTCCACTGTTAAAATTTAATTTTTATTTGAAATATTTTTTTATTCTACCAATTTGGTCATCCGGGTCATATTCCTGAGTTTCCTTTAAAATAAAATTTTTTTTTAATTCAAAAAAATAAGGCAATCCCTCACTTGTTGATATTCATAATCATCGCCTTCTGGTCTTCTAGGATCTGTTGGTTCAACTCCAGAAATACGATAAATAAAAACACCAGGTTCATTGAAATTAGTCACTCTAAGAAAAAGAAGAAAATCAAAATTTAAAAAATTTCTTTCTACTTGGCAACTTCCCCAACAGAAGAACTACTTTGATCAAGCACCTTATCATTCTTTCCGTCAACAGAAAAAAATCCAGTCTGAACTACCCTTCCACCTGATTTTGTCCAATTAATTGTGCTATAGACAAAAATGGCATAAGTTTCGTTTGAATCGGTAGCTAATGCCAACTAGAAATAAATAAAAAATATTTCTAGAAAATAGATTAATGGAAATGTCAAAAAATGTAAAAATTTTGGAATTTTAAAAGCAAATCCTCTCTTTTTCAGTTCACATAAATTCACCTTATATTTTAAGATTAAGCTTAAAAAGAAACCTAAATTGAAACAAAAAAGGCAAATTAAAGTTTAAACTTAAAAATAAGCGAAATAATGTTAAGATTAATCTTAACAATTAAAATAAACTTGAAATTAAAACTTAACAATAAATTTAAGATTAAACTCGAAAACAAAAATAAACTTGTTTAAACTTAAAAACTTAAGTTTGAACTTAAAAATAAAAAAATAAACTTGAAAGTAATAAACTTATATTTAAACTTGGAAACAAAAATAAACTTGTTTAAACAAAAAACTTAAGTTTGAACTTAAAAATAAAAAAATAAACTTGAAATTAAACGTTAAAATAAATAAACTTAGATTAAACTTGAAAATAAATAAACTTGAGATTAAACTTGAAAAAGAATAAAATTTAAGATTAAACTTAGAATTAAATAAACTTGAAGTTAAAACTTTAAACTTGCCTGAAACGTATTAGATTCCGATTTCTCATTCAATAATTCGCTCCAAGTAATTAACAAAACAGCAGAGGCTTCAAATTGGTTTGCCCCAAAAGCACGCCTAACTTTTGCGGAAAGTTCTCTACTCAATAAAGTTTCACTATGCGAAGTTCTTAAAAAATAATTAAATTTTTTATTTTAATTTTCCTTCTTTCTCACCGATAAAAAACTTTTCCGTTAGAAGAGGGTGCAAACAAAACAGCAATAATATCTTTATGTTGTTCACTTAAATCTTCCGATTTTGTATCGAAAGGTTCTCCAAAGGAAACAGCTCCATTTGCCGAAATAAAAATTAAATTTTGTTTTCTTTCAAAAAATGTAAAGGGAGGGCCGGGAAGTAATTTTCTTGTAATTGCTGGTTTTTCGATAAATTGAATTAACTATTAAATTAAATTAATTAAAATAAATAATATTTTTAATAAGACCTCATCCCCCTCTTCAATACCAAATGGAATGTGAAATGAAGCTAAAGAAAATAAAAATTGTGAGATTAGTAGAATTAATGAAGATAAATTTTTTGTTGTTGAATTAATCATTGTTATTAAAATTACATAACTTAAACAAGATTAATCTTAAAAATAAATTCAATTAAAATTAAAAAAATAAGCCTAAGTTTAAACTTGGAAATAAATAAAATTTAAAATAAACTTGAAAATAATAATAAACTTAAACTTGAAAAGGTACATAAACTTAAGCATAAACTTGAAAATAAAAATAAACTTGAGCTTAAACTTAAAAATATTATTAATAAATTTAAGATTAAACTTGAAAGAAAAATAAACTTAAATTAGATATGAAAATAAGAACAAACTTAAGATTAATCTAAAAAAATAAACTTGAAAAAAATAAAAATAAACTTGGAATTAATTTTGAAAATAAAAATAAACTTGAGATTAAACTTGGAAATAAATAAACTTATGATTAAACTTAAAAATATTAAGATTAAATTTGAAAAAAAAATAAACAAAAGTTACTAAATTTAAATAAACCTATGCAAGAGCAAACTTAAAAATAAACCTAAAAAATTGTACATATGCCTCAAAAATAAAGCATTGAGCTCAAAAATAAAATTGAAAATTGAGGTTAGATATTGAAAATTTCAAAAATCCTGCCAAATAAAAAGTCAATTATAATATTTATTTTGCTATTTTTGTTGAGGATACTGACGGTGAGTCCGACAATCGATGGGAGATGGCGCGGACAACAACAACAACAAAAACTATTACTAAACTAGCATTTTACCCATATTTTATTTGCGCCCTCCATTTCTTCCCCCCATTAGGTAAGGATGGGAAGGAGGCCATGGACGATGGACGTTGGTCGACCTTTTTGCATAAACTGAAGGGGAAAAGTGAGAACAACATCACATAAAATTAAATATTTATGGGGGACATTCTGGACGATATTTTATTTTTTTCCTTCCTTTTCTTCACATTTCTTCACTTAATTTCTTCATTTTTAACAGAATAAAAGCTGTCTTTTAGCAAAAAAACTTTTCCGAGCGTTCCTACTTTATCCACCTGCTAGTATTTACTGCCAGTTGAGACAAGATTTATTTCTTTAAAATAAATTTGTAATTCACATCTGCAGTAAAAATAAAATTAGGATTTAAAAATGATGGTTAAGTTAAGATCAATCTTGAAAAGAAAAATAAACTTGAGATAAACTTTAAAAATGAAAATAAACCTTAAGTTTAATCTTGAAAATAAAATAAACCTAAGATTAAAAATAAACTTAAGTTTAATCTTGAAATTTAAAATAAACTTGAGTTAATCTTAAAAACAAAATAAACTTAAGATTAATCTAGAAAATTAAAATAAACTTGAAATTAGCCTAAATTTAAATAAACTTAAGAATAAACTTAAAAATTTGATCTAAAATGGAATGAATTCTCGCCCAGAAAACATAATTACCTAACTCGAAAACCCCAAAACAATTTTGGGTATTACTTAAAAATCATTTATTAAAAACCAAGGAAATAAATAATACATTTATATATTACTAAAAAATTGTTTTAATTTCCTCATACATATACATATATTAAATGGGTTACATTCACTGCATGTAAGTGGCACATATATATTTTTATTGAATTTGTGTCCTTTGATTTTACGTGAATAAATTATATAAATTTGTAAAAAAATGTCTTTTAGTCGATAAAATAACAATTTAAGTTTATGGCAATCTAGTGTAAAAGAATTGTTTATTGATCTATCCATTTAATATTTGATCTAAAATGGAATGAAAACATTACAACTATAGAAGGCTGGTACTACAAATATATATGTTTTTTAATTTAAAAAGAGCTAGAAATTGGAAAGGATGGAGGGGGGGGGGTGTTTTTGTTTTTTCCTTTCAATCTATTATATTGCTTTGGATTAAATTTATATTTAAAACTTTTTCTTTCCCCTAAAATATATTTTTCATTTTGTAGATGAATCATCAGTAATTGCAGAAATTTTGGCCGAGAAGGATTCCCCGCCCTTTTTTTCGTCTGTCCTGAAAAATAAAAGAGAATAAAGGAAACAGACTTAAAATGTTTGAGAATAAACTTGAACAATAAACTAGAAAAACCGAAGCAAGAAAAACATGAAACTTAGAAACTTGAGAATGAACTTAAATTAAATAAACCTGAAAACAAGTTTGAAATAAACTTTGTTCTATGTTCGATTTATGTTTGCTTATGTTTGTTTTATTTTTTTATTTGTTTTTGCTTTGTTTGTTTGTTTGTTTGTTTGTTTTATTTGTTTCCAAACAAAACAAATTAAACTTGTTTTGAGTGCAAACTTAAAAACAAAGTTTATTTATTATAAACTTAAGATTAAGCTTTTTTAAGCTAAACTTAAGAACAACAAACTTGAATTAAACAATAATTAAGATTAAGCTTAAAATTTTGATCTTGTATTTATTACAAATATATCACTTATTAATTATTTAATAATTTATTTTTAATTCAAATATTTGTTTTGGTCTTCCTTAAAATTAAATCCAAACATTTCATAATAATATTTAATCATAATCAGGTCAGCAGGAAGTTGGAAATCATTTGTGGAGACACTGACAAAACTTCCTCTCTAATTGTTACAGGCGGCAAATAGTACACACATTTTATAATTTCTCTCAATATTTGGAGAAAGAATATTTAGGCGGGATAAACAAATGGATTTAACGGAAAAGTTGGAGGAATTGGAATGAATTTATCAAAAGAATTATTTTCAAAAATTTTCCAATCAAATTTATTTTCTAGTTTTGAATTAATTTTTGGTATATCGCTTGGATTAAAAATAATTTTTTTATTTAAAAATTCTCTCATTAAAATAATTTTTTAGCTTGTTTCAAAATATGCCTCTTTAAAATAATTTTAACTAGGAATATGGCTACTCCATCAGTGACACCCAAACCTGAACGTCGAAACAGGATAATAAGGGTAATTGTCTTATAAACATTCAAGGGGAAATATAATAATTAGGAGCCCAACATTTTAAAGGGAAAACAAACAAAAGAAAAAAACATGTTTTACAAACTTAAAAATAAAATACAAGTTTTGATTTTATATAAAAACAAGTAAAAACATGTTTCTACTTAAGTTTCCAACTTGTTTTTAAGAAAAACCAACTTTATTGAAAAACAATAAGTTTTGCAAACTTGAAAATAAAAATAAATTTAAAAACTTGTTTAACATAAGTCTAAGTTCAACTTGAGTTCACATACTTAAATAAAACTTAAAAAACCAACTTGTTTTCAAACTTAAAAACTTGTTTGAAGTGGTAAACTTGAAAATAAAAATAAGTTTAAAAACTTAAGTTTCAACCTAAGCTTATCTTAAGATATCTTAAGTCTACAAACTTAAGTTTTTTTATATTTAAAAATTAAAGCAAAGTGTTTACCAAGAAGAAAATTTAAATCAACCTAAATTACAACAAACAAAACAACAACATCAACAACAGCAATCTCCACATAAACCAGACTCAATAGAAAAACATACCACAATATCCCAATTAGTTTTATCAAATACCCAACAACAACAAAATCCAAATATTAATTATATCAACACAACACAATCAGCTACATATCACCAAATTTGTTTACCTTCAGATTCAATTATTGGAAATAATAATTATGAATTTGGAGGAGGAGAAGGGGGTTGGGAAGGAACACAACAACCGCCTAATTCGAATGAAACGTTTATTGAAAACAAAGGAAATACAACCAAAAGTTGGGGATTTTTAAATAATAATTTATTCGATTTTAAGGATTTCCATTAATCTATCGTGTCCAAATGCTCAAAGGTTTTGAGGTTCTTTGTAAACGTTTACTCTTCCATCTAGTAAAGGCTAGTGCTGGTTCTCCAAAATGTTTTATTGTAAATTAAGTCAAATTAAATTTATTTAAAATTCAATTTTAAGGCACTCCCTTTTGCTCTGGTTGGCTTAAGCCTCTTGCTTTGCTCGTTCTCTTCGTCTTGGCCATCTTCGCTCTTCCCTTTCTACGATATTTTCCATTTTGGGACTGATCAGCAGGAATGTGTCAAGACGTTTTTCATGTCGACAAATTGTCAGTTTGGACAAAAATCCTTTTTATTCGATACAATACGTGATTACAACAATTTTCCCAGCGAAAATCCTTTATTTGATGCGCCGCAACATTCTCCACATAATGAGTTTACAATATTGTTAACAACAACAAAAACAAATATAAAGTGAAGTTTTTACAAACATAAGCTACTATAAAAACTAAAATAAAACTAAAATTAAGCTTGAACTTGAAAAATTAAGCTTGAACTTGAAAACAGATATTAAATAAACTTGGAAGTCAATAAAATTGTAATTTTAAAACTTAAGTTTATAATTGAAAGTAAACTTGGAATTAATTCATCTAAACTTGAAATTTAATAACCTTAAACTTAATTTAAGCTTGAACTTGAAAATAAATATTAAATAAACTTGAAAATTAAACTTAAATTTGAAAACAAGTTTGAAAATTATTAGCTCATAGAAAATATTTTCAGAGGAGGTAGAGGTCCAATAATAACTCAGAACGGGACATTAATTCAGGTCTATGTTCAACTTTTTAACCAAATTCAAGATTCGACTATTCAGCATCATAAACAAGTTTATAAGGTAACAGATAGTTTTGTGGAATTAAAAATAATTAATCCAAAGTGGTGGGACCTTTGCCGACAATGTCATCTAGATCAGGCTCTAGACAACTGGATTAAAAGCAGTTTACCTCAAGAAGGGAATTTGACAGAAATTTCAAATTTTTCCTCAATGGAAGAAAGGACAAGGAAAAACCTCTTGCCAGACATGTTTGGAGGTAAAAAACTGTTTATTATAAAAATACTGAATAAAATCTCTAGATGTTGAATTAAATTCATTTCAACATGTCCATTCTGTGATAATGAGAATTAAGTTGAAACGACATTTAAAGCCACAAATAGTTGACTCTTTTGAGAGACACTTAAGACGAATTGTGAGGGTTGTTTTTAAAGTTAAAATTTAATCATTTTTTAAAGATAGTCAATTTTTCACGTCAAAACAGCCTAGCATCTTCCCAGGAAGAAGAAAAACCTCTAGGTATCCATTTCTGGTCTGCCCAACAACTTGCTGCTGAAATTGAAAATTCTCTTCGGCAAACACATGTTAAAATATTAATTTGTTGGGTAGCACTATGTGGAATTTTGGCAATAGTTCAAATTCGTTCTAGCACTTATGAAGTGAATTAAAGGAATTTCCGACTAAAAAATTTGATTTTTAAGAGCAGACCAATGGTTGGTGTGCAACAAGCATTGACCCTTCTATTAGCTTCAGTTTGTGCCTATGCTGTACATTTAACAAGTTCTGAAAGATTTAATTCTCTCCTGTTTGCTCTACCTTTCACACTTGCAAGCATAGGATCGCTAACTTTTGCTGGTGTGGATAGCGCCTTCGAGCGTTATTCAGGAATTGCAATGCACCCAACAGAGAAAATGGTTTGTAAAACAAGTTTATTTGTTTGTTTAAATTAAAGTTTGTTTATATGTTTTGTTCATGTTTGTTTACTTATGTTTTTATTCAAGTTTATTTATTTGTTTTTGTTCAAGTTTATTTTTATTTTCATGTTCAGGTTTATTTTTATGTTGTGTTTGCTTCATTTAATTATGTTTTTATTGAAGTTTATTTATTTATGTTTTTGTTGTGTTTCTTTTTATAATATGTTCATGTTTAAGGTGTCTATATGTTGTGTTCACTTATGTTTTTGTTCAAGTTTATTTAATTAAATGTTTTTGTTGTTTTGTTTTATGTTGTTTTATGTTTATTTATTCATGTTTTGTATGTTCTTGTTCAAGTTTATTTACATGTTGTGTTTGCGTTTATTTATGTTTTTATTCAAGTTTATTTTTATGTTCGTTTCACAATCAGGTTTTTCTTATGTTTTTCTAATTTATTCCTTGTTTATTTTAAATGCTTGTTTTTATTTGTTTTATTGCTTGTTTTTACATGTTTATGTTTTTGTTGTATTTCAAGTTTGTTTTTGTTTATTCCATTTAATTTTAATGTTGTTTACACATGTTTATTTAAATCATCCGAACATATTTAACAGGCCTTCTTGTTTATTTGGGATGGTTGTGCTCTAGTGTTATTACCTTTACTCTGGCTTATACTTTTATGCTGTAAGTATTTTTAATCCGAAAAAATTATTTTTCAAAGTTTTTTCTTCTCTACTTGTCCAAAGCATTTTCCTCCTCCAATTCTTGCTATCCTTAGCAGCCGGATTTTCTTCTCTCCTTCTATTCTCCTTAACTTTCCTGCTTGTTTGTTGGTTAGGAACGGCTCGCCGCATGGCTGCTGGTCTAAAATGGTTTCAAATTTGTCGGACTGGGGACCAATCATTTAATGGTGTCCTTAATTATTTTTTAAGCAAGTAATTATTCCTTACAGAAAAACAATTTTTTGATTATGATGCTTATACTTGTGCTCGTCTACACGAAAAATTAGCAGACTTGAGGCCCTGTTTTGGGAGACGTTTTGGCCATCTAGTATGTGGACAGAATTTTAGAATGCTCTCCTTCGGCCTTTTCTGTATTTTATGTATTGGAGCTATTATTGGAGGAATAACAACAAATAAAAATAATGCTTCAATTGTTAAACTTGAAGCGACACACTTTTTATTACCCAAAAGTCAAAGTCAATTATTTATAGAAAATTTCCATTTCTCCTTTCCTAAATATGAGGATTTTATTGGTAAATAAAAATATTTAAAGTTAAATTTTAAAAATTTTAGAAATCAATTTTGACGGCCCTCTAGACTATGAAGAAAGAAAAGAACAAATTTCTGGTCTCCTAAATTGGCCAATAGTAGAGATTTTTTAAATAAAAATATTTAATTTTTATTTTGAAGGAAATTGGGTTGGCAAATAGAGCAGTTAGTTGGTTAATTGAATTTGAAAAGTTCAAGAAAACTGTAGCGTATAGAATCGATGAGGTAAATAAATATAAATTAATATTTAAATATTAATTTAAACAAGTTTGCTAACTTAAAATAATAAAGTTTATTTTAATCAAGTTTATTTTACAAACTTAAAACAGTTTTATTTTCATTTAAGTTTGTAAACTTGTTTGTTTAAATTATTTAAGCTTACTTAAAATGAACTTCTATTAACTATGTTTGGAAAAAAGTTTGCAAACTTAAATAAAAAATAAACTTGTTTAAAATAAGCTTACTTTAGTCTGTTATTTTATTTTAAGCAAACAAGTTTGCAAACTTAAATAAATTTATTTTTAATTACAACTTAAAACAAGTTTATTTTTATTATTATTATAAGTTTGTAAAATAAACTTGTTTAAAATAAACTTACTCAAGTTTGTAAAACATTGTTTATTTTGAGCAAGTATTTTAAGTTTATGCTTGTTTTTAATCAAGTTTATTTATCCAACTACCTCTGTATTTTATAGTTAATTTAAGGAATCATCAGTTTCTCTACTTACCCATGTTTTTCTACGTGATGAGCGTTACAACAAATTCTTGGCCGATTTGCATGTTTCACAAGGGCAAATACATAAGTAATAAATATTTTATTAAATTTTATTTTTATTGGGATATGGAAGAAAAAAATTATTTTAGGTCACGAATGTATCTTAAGTTGACTTCTAAAGGACGTCAACAAAGGTTAAAAATTTTGGTTTAAAAATAAAATCAAAAAATTTAATTTAAGCGAATTTCTTATCCGCTCACTCCTTGAAAAAGCAAAAAGAGCAGCATTACCAATTAGCTTACATGTCCCTTTCAGCTTTTCTATTACTCATGATATCCAGGTTTTAACGTACTTATAACCCATAAAAAATTTTTTAAGGTAATACCTAAAATGTTTACTTCGATTTTATGGCTTTGCACTCTTTCTGCTATCCTTTCCGCTTTACAACCTTCCTTGGCTATTTGTTTGTTTGTCTCAAACTTGTTTTTGTGTGCTTCTGTTAATACTTGTTTTTATTTATTTAATATTCCTTTAAATGTTGTTACAATTGGAATTTTGGCTGTTTTTGGTATGTTTGTATTTAATATGTATATCAATTGAACTTGTTTTTTAAAAAAACATTTTATTAAACATTAAAACATTGTAATGTTTTTAGGCTTAAAAACATGTTTATATTAAATATGTTTTTAAGTTTTATAAACATTAAAATGTTTGAAACTTGAACATCAAGTTTGAACTTGTTTGCGAACTTAAAACTTGAAAACTTAAAACAAACTTCAAACAAAGTTTGCAATCTTAAAACATGTTTATTTAATGTTAAAACAACAAAACATCCAAACAAATTAATATGTTTTTATGAACATTAAAACAAGTTTGCGAACTTTAAAGTTTGCACACTTAAACTTTTGTTTGTTGTTCAAACTTAAAACTTGTTTATCAAAACATGTTTGTCAAAACATGTTTGTCAAAACATGTTTTAAAAACAATTAAACATTCCCACAGGTTTACCCCTAAATTCTGCCTGTATTTTACACTTTTCTCATCACTTTTTCAACTCTGGACCACTACAACAAAACAATTATTTAAGAATTCAATACGCATTTCAATGCTCTTTATGGCCTATATGTTTAGCAACAATTATAGGGCCCTTGACTTTTTGTTTTGAATTAATATTTGGAACATATCCGCCTATTGTTTTCAATGTTTTCCAAATCCTAACAATTTGTTCACTTCTTATATTTATTCAAATTTTTGTTTTTCTGCCGAGTTTATTGCCAATGTTCTCAGATTTGTTTCACGATATGTTCACTATAGCTTCCCAACTTTGTGATGAAAATGCAAATGCAGAAATGACTGTGGACCCAATGTCAGAAAATGTTTATTTTGTAAGAAGGCAACAGCCTATATGTCCGACAAGTTCGTTTAATAGATGGCAAGCTGCTATGGGGTATAGGTGAATTTAAAATAAATTTCAAAAATAATTTTAATTAAAAAAAGTTATCATCAAACATTCAACATTGGAGGAGCGCCAACAAACTTGTCTATTCCCCCAGCATATAAACCACCTCCAATAGAATATTACCCCTTTAAACCTCAACAAAATAATAATTTTGTTCTTCACAGTCGACAAACTAGCAGATTTAGGTTTTTAGAATTTTTCTGATTTAATCAAAAAATTGCCCGATTTTTTAGTCAGCAAGATCAAAATATTAATTCTCCGCGGATAAATTCAAGTTGTGGAGGAAGGTCAATACACACCGATCCAAAAGAAAGGAGCGCACCTCCTCCACCTATTTACAGCCCTCCAAATATGCGAAAGGATAATGTAATGATTAATGGGTGTTGTTGTAGCAAAACAGATAGTGGACATAATAGTTTTAGTGAAGTAAGATTTAAGAGAAAAAATGGTGAAAAAGGGTTGATTTAAGATTGTAAAACATTTTAAATAAGAGAGTGTTTACAGTCTTTTAAACTTTCACAAACTTGTAAACTTGAAAATAAACTTTAATACAAACATTCAAGTTTAGCAAAACATTAAGATGTTTTGCTAAACTTGAATGTTTGTGTACAATATTTTAATTTAAACAAGTTTTGCAGCATTAAATAAACTTGTTTTTAACAAAAACAAACTTGTTTTTGCTAAAATTAAACTTGTTTTGTGACTCAAAAACAAGTTTGTTTTGCTAAACTTGAGTGTTTGCGTTAAATTATTTTAATTAAACTAACTTGTTTGCGAACTTGAATAGAAATAAACTTGATTTAAGTTTGTAAAACATTTTGTTTTCCCAACTTTTTATGCTTATTTAATCAAGTGCAAAACAAGTTTAATTTTGTTAAAAACAAGTTTATTTAATGTTGCAAAACATGTTTATTTTTAAGTCACTTGAATCTCATGTTGACTTGCGCATTCGCCATTTACCAACTCAACAACAAAAACAACCAAATAATGGAATAAATCGTACAGTAGATAATAATAATAAAACAAACAACCTTCGAACAAACAATTTTCAAATTAAATATCCTTCAAAATTTGTTGCGGAGGAAGAACAAATTTATGAAGAGCCAGATTCGCCTTTACCTGAGTCAAAAAATAATAAAAATTCGGAAATTAATATTTGTGCTGGAGCTGTTGCCCGTGCAAAGACTAGATTGACACATTAATTTTAAAAATTATAGTAAAGATAAGGACGCTATTTTAATTTAAAAATAATTTTTTGGAATATTTTAATTTTACTGTTTTTTTAAATAAATATTTTTAATTTTATTTTTATTTTTCTTAGATTAATATGTAGTACACACATTTTTTTATATTGATTCTTAGTTGTTTACAAAACTATGGACTAGCTATTTAAATATACACACTTTATTGTTAATCCTAAACATCGAAAATATTAAATGACAACATCCCTTTAAGTTTATAATTATTACTATACACTTTAAGTTTGTAAAACAAGCATTAAAAAACATTGTAAAACATTAAAAACATTTAAAACAACATTGTAAAACAAACAAGTTTGTAAAACAAGCATAAACTTTTGTAAAACTTGAGCATGCTTAAGTTTTGTAAAAACTTAAATTTAAAACATTAAGTTATCAAAACTTAACAACCAAACTTTAAGTTTGTAAAACTTGTACAACGAAACTTTAATTTTGTGAAAACACAAGCATAGACTTTACTTTTGTAAAACTTTAAAATAAAGTTTTAAGTTTGTAAAACTTAAGCATGCTTAAGTTTTGTGAAAACTTAAGTTTAAGACTTTAATTTATCAAAACTTAATAAATAAACTTTAAGTTTGTAAAACATGTTTAAAACTTGAAATTAAAGTTTTAAGTGAAAATAAAGTTTATGTAAAACTTTATCAATAAAACTTAAAACTTGAACAAAAACTTAAGTTTGTGAAAACTCCTATGTTTTGGAAAAAATAAACCTCTGCTTATGTTATTCCAATTTTCGTATTTTAATATTTAGAAACTTTAAAAACAAAAAAAAATTCGTGCATAATTATTTTTCTAATAAGTGACATTTACTCGTGCTAGGACACTTTTTTAATAAAAAGGTAAAATACTCTTTAATCTTTTTTTTCTTTATTTAAAATGCTCACATGTTCAGCTGCAACAAAAAACTTTTTTTTTATTATTTTATTTTCAAAGGGTAATAAATAATCTATGTAGGAGGAGGAGAATAAACGAAAAAACTAAATTATTTTTATTTTATTCACACTCATAAATAAATATTTATCATTTTTCGCAATCGAAACAAAATACATTTACTTTTAGCTTTCTTTTAAAAAATAACACTTTCTTGCGACAAGAATAAAATGGCAACAATGAGCGGTTAAATCAATAAAAATAAATATTTATTTTATTTTTTGCATGCCTTTAATGTTTTTTAATGTTTATTTGAAGAAAGAGAGCGCTTAAATAAACATATGTTTTTATTTGATCTTTACGAACATTTTTTCTATTGGAATAATAAAAGCTTTGTTTTCCGGTCAAACTGGGACAAGTGAACGGGTATATAAATTGGAGCTTAAATCAGTCCAAACATTTATTCGTTATGTTTTTAGTTGTTTTTATATTAAACATTTTCTTAAGTTTATAAGTTTTGAGTTTATAAAACTTCAAGTTTGCAAACATTTCCATGTTTAAAAACATGTTTTAATTTAAACATGTTTTTACAATTTTTTTAAAAAACTTATTCAAACATTAAAACATTCAATTCTGTTTAAAAACATTCATGTTTGTACAAAACAAAACTTATTTTGATTTAAACATGTTTTCAAGTTTGCAAACTTAAAAACTTTATAACTTAATTTAAAAAACTTTAATTAAGCTTATTTTAATTATTATTAAAACTTTGTTTTAAGTTTGTAAACATGTTTTAAACTTTCTTCATCTTTTTGAGACTATTCTTAATTTTTTTTAAGTTTGTAAAACATTATTTTTACTTTCGTAACATTTTAAAGTTTGTTTTAATAATACCTATATTTTGATTGATATATTTTTAAAAACTTAAAAACAAGTTTTGTTGTTTTTATTTTTTTACTTTTTTCCAACTTAATTTTATTTTTCTATCAAAACTTCAAGTTTTGTTTTATTTTTAGTTTGTTTCAATTAATAGACTTTCTAGAGTGTTTTTACAACGTGTTTTTCACAACAACTTTGTTTTTATTAAAACATATTTATTTATTAACTAATTTATTTACTAAAAACATGTCTTCTACTGGTTGTCCACCAATTATAGTTATTGCTGGCCTGAAAAATAAATTTACTGCAGAAAAAGTTTTTTGCTTCTATTTATTTTTAAATTTATTAATTTAATCTAGTTGCGCTCCCTTATAAACAATATGGCTCAGGACCCTGAAATACACGCATATCAACAATTAGTGGAAGATTTTCAATATAAGACGGGGGATGCTCTAGCTTTTGTTACTGTAAAAAATTAATTCTAAATTAATTCTAAAATTAATTTTGGATTAATTTTAAAATTATTTATTTTTTAGTTAAATTCTGAAGAGGCTGCAAATCGTGTTATTTTTCATTTAAACGAGTCTAAATTGGAAGGATGGTAATTAAATTTTAATTAAATTAGCTTTAAAAAAATTAGCTTAAAAAAATATTTTTTAGTGATGAACTTCATGCCGCTTTTGTCCCGAACACGCTTTCCTTTGGAAATTCTTTTGATGGAATTAAGGGAGCCGAAGGTCCAGATCCGTGGGGACGTCCTTTAGGTTAATAATACTTTCAAATAAAAATTTTTTTCCAATTTTAGATGGTTCTTGGGAGCGTAAAGGCTATGAATTCAGTTGGGATGAGGATCATCATCATTATGAAACTGTAGGGGAAGACAGCTTTGCTTATGAACATGGTGGTTTGTATGGACAAGGAGCTGGAATTAATGGTAATTTTGTCTAAATACTAGGGTTGGGCCCCGAAGGCTCAGGGCGGTTATGTCGGGGAACGGGGTTTTTGAATTGTTTCGGGGCGGAGAACAGGTCGGGGGATGTCTGAAAAAATCGTTCGGAAGCGGGGCCGGGGCGCAACTCTACTAAATACGAAATGAAAAAAATTTTTTAAAGGGGAAGACGACTTTATCAAACCCAACGAAGGATGGGCAGCAGACGACTTTTTAGTTGGTAACAATGTTGAACCTTGGGGAAATGATGCAAACGCTCTTGTCAAAAAATATGGAGAAAACGATGGGCATCAATTATATACAAGTGGAATAAGGGGAGAACGAGAAGGACGTGTTTATCGTTCAGAAAGTCGAGGACAGCAAGGAGGAGAAGGAGGACGTGTTTATTTGGAACTGTCAGGGATTACTCTTTCTGACATGATTGCTCATATCAAGTTTGGGGTAACTCATTAAATGAAGAAAATATTTTTTTAATTAAATTAATTATTTTAATTAATATACTCTTAAGAATAAAAATTTATTTAAATTAAAAAAATTTTTTAAATTAACAATTCCATATAGTAAAATTTAATAATACTCTATAATTATTTTGATATTTTATGTTGTTCGAATAAATATGTGCAAATTGCAATTTTAATTATCAAAAAAACTTGTTTTACAATTTAATAGAATTAAAATGTTTTGTAAACTTAAGTTTTACAAGCTTAATTGCACTTGTAATTTTAGGAAATAAACTTGTTTAAATAACATAAAAAATAAACTTGTTTTAAATAAACAAGTTTATTTTTTCCCAACTTACAACTTGTTTTAGAAACTTGTTAAATAAAACATATTAAAAATAAACTTGAATTCAAGTTTAATATAAAATTAAATATTGTTTTACAAACTTAATTGTTCCAATCAAGTGTTTTTCAAAACAAATGTTTTATTCAAAACAAATGTTTTTCAAAACACATGTTTTTTAAACTTTTTCTTGTTCATTTGTTTCTTCTGGTTTTCCCTTCCTTTTCTGTGCTCGATAACGAATTCTCTTGTTTCCAAACCAATTATTTACTTGTGAAACAGTTATACCTTTAAATTTTTATTTTAGCTAAAAATTAATTTTTAATTTACCCGTTTTCCTAGCCAATTCATTTTTATCATTATCAGATGGATACGGGTCTGAAATATGTTCAAGGTAGTAGTCATTCAATATTTGTACCACTTCTTTCGAGAAATTTCGACGTTTCCTTCTTAAAAAAATTTTTTTTAATTTGTTATATTCCCTAAAAACTAACGGATGATTAGCCAACTTTTCATGTAACACTTTTATTGCTTGACAAGTTTGCATTTTTACTTCAATCCGAAGATTGGTAAACTTCTTATTACAATTCCAAATCATTGCCTGCATGTCATATGGAGCAACTGGACGCACCATACGATGTTTTTGTAACAAACTTTGAATTATTGGAGAGACTTCTACTGCGCGCTGAAACATTAAAATTTTTTTAATGTTTAGCTTTAATTCTCGTCAAGTTTGTAAACTTAACTTTCTAGCGTTTGTAAAACAAGTTTATTTATTTTATCAAATTTCTAAAGCAATGTTTTTTTTGATTCTGGTCAAGTTTGAAAAACAAGTTTATTGTTTTTACTTGTTTTACAAGTTTGTAAAAATTCAAGTTTGAAAAACAAGTTTGTTTTATTTTAAAATAAACTTGTTTTACATTATAAATAAACTTGTTTTATAAGCTTTTAAAAATTCAAGTTTGTAAGGTAAGTTTTTTTCAAGCTTGTAAAACATGTTTTTAAGTGTATTAAAAATAAACTTGTTTTATAAGTTTGTAAAAAATTCAAGTTTGAAAAACAAGTTTATTTTTAAATATAATCAAGTTTGCAAAAGAAATTTACCCCCTCAATTTGCATCATTGTTTTATGGAATTGATCAGAAAGTTGCTGCTTGTCGCGTAAATATTCTTCATCCGCCTGTGATAATTGTACCTTTTTTTCTTTGTTGGTAATTTTCGTTGCACAAATTTTGTCATATTCGGAGGAAGGATTGCCATTAATTATATTCTCTCGAACCTAAAAAATTTGTTTAATTTTTTAAAATTTTTATTAACCAGCATATTATCAAGTTGAAGTTCTTGTTCTAATAAATAACCCTGTGGTGGAGGTAAAGGACGCTTCGAATCTATAAATAAATTTTTTTTGAATTAAAGTTAAATTCTGTCAATTATCCAACCATTAATTTGCTTCTTTTCTGCAAGAACAAGCAAGAATGGCATATAAAATGGATTGTTGACCATCTCACAACTAAAATAAAATTTGAAAACAAAAATAAAAAATTAGGAATGTTAATAATCAGAACAAAATTTGAACATATTTTAGTAAAAATCAGAACAAATAAGAAGCAGTAGGTTGTAAAACATGTTTATTTTTTAATTCTAGTCAAGTTTGTAAACTTAACTTTTTATCATTTGCAAAACAAGTTTATTACTCAATCATGTAAAACAAATTCAAGTTTGCAAAACATGCTCGTTTTAAATTAAAAATAAACTTGTTTTACAAGTTTGTAGAAATTCAAGTTTGTAAAACAAGTTTATTTTGTAATTAAATTATTTAAAATAAATTCAAGTTTGTAAATGGAATAAAGGAATATAAATAAAAACAATTAAAAATCAGAATAAAAACAAAACAAGTTTTAAATAAAAATCATTAAAACAAACGTTAATTTAAGCGCATAACTTTCCCCTTCAGGTTTGTTCAAACAATTTATTGTTGTTTTAGTTTGATCTTTTAGTTTGTCAAGTAAAATGTTTAGATCACTTTCTGAAGAACTTGTTTCAGGCATTTTTGTTTAAGCAGCAATTTTTAAATTAAATTCTCTTAAAAATTTTTAATAGAATTTATGTGGAAATGATTTAAATTAAAAAAAAATAAATATTTATTTATGTGGAATAAATATGAAAAAATAATGATGACGACTCAACAATTTGCCCATGCCATTTCCCACAATGATTGACATAAACTTGCTGTATATTTAAACTTTTTTTAAAAGGGGAGAAGAAAAATAAACTTTAAAGGCAAGTTTGACTAATCAAAAGAAGAAGAGTCGCATTTTCTTTGTTGATTTATTTAAATTGATGAAGCACTATTCTTGATGGACAAATTAACGATTCAAAAATTCCCTACTCGCCTGGATTTTTTGGAAAATATTTTTTTGTATTTTTTTTCAAATTTTAGTTTGCAAATTATGCTCAAAAAATAATTTTTTACAAAAAAAGTCCCTAAAAATTCCCCAAAAATCCCCAAAAAGTCACTTGAAAAAATAAAGATTGCCTTTTTCTTTAAAAATACCCTCGTCACAATAAAATAAAAATCTTATTATTTGTTAAAATTGGCCAATTTTGTTATGAAGCTTTACAAAAGAGTAAAGGAAATATGGGGGCGATGGAAAGATAAAAACATTTTTATTAAATTTTAGCTTTTTAGTAGTTGCTTTTTTATGTTTTTATTCACTTAAACTTAAAAACTCATGAAAGATTACTCAATATTTAGCTAAGAATCAAATGAACATTTTTAAGTTTATTTTTAATTTTAATCCAGGTTTGTAAACTTGGATTTTCAATGTTTGTAAAAACAAGTTTATTAAAAATAAACTTGTTTGACTTGTTTTTGTTTTACAACAAACAAACAATAAACAACAATAAAACAAACTTGTTTTATAAACTTAGAAAAACAAGTTTATTTTTTAGTTTTATTGTTTGTAAAACAAGTTTATTTTGTTGTTGTTTATTGTTTGTTTGTTGTTTAAAAACAAACAAAAACAGGTTAAAATAAAAACAAACTTGTTTTATAAATTAGTAAAACAAGTTTGTTTTTAGTTTATTATGTTTGTCAACCAAGTTTATTTTTATAAACAAGTTTATTTTTAGTTAATCAAGATACCGAAAAAGTTTTTTCTTAGTTTTATTAAGTTTGTAAAAACAAGTTTATTTTTGAAATTCAAGTTTGTAAACATTTAATTTTAAGTGAATCAAGTTTTTTAGTTTTATTATTCTTTAAATTTAAGTCTGTTTTAATTTTCTTCCTTAAAAATTATTTAAACATTTAACCTCTTAAAAAGCCATTTTTATGCTTCAATAGACTAGAACAGAGTCTGTCTATTTTTTAATTTTATGGCATGAATATTGATAAAAAAAATAAATAGAATTTTTAAAGGAAATGCTTCTACGTCAATTAATTTTTTAAAAATAAGAAAAAATATTTTTATTTATTCATAAAAAATATTTCAATAATTTCCCTTAAAAATACAATAATTAAATAAATTATGACATTAAACAATATAACAACGACTAATGGAGATTGGAATTCCCCATACCCACCCATAATCCAGGTAACAATGTTTTGCATTTAAAATAAGGATAAACTTGTTTTCAAGACTCTCGGATGGTTTGTTGCTAGTGCACTTTCATTGGGAACAATCCTTGGCAATGCTCTTGTTTTGTTTGCTTATAAACTTGAAACTTCCATTAGCAGACAAGTATGTTTTGTTTTTGATGTTTTATTGGTTGTTATTTTATAAACAAACAAGTTTGTTTGAAATAAAGTTTATTTTACATAAACAAGTTTATTTCTCAAAAAAACATGTTTTTAGTTAAATAAACAAGTTGTTTAAAAACTTAAATGTTTGTAAACAAATGTTTTTGGAAAAATTATTTTTCAAACAAACATCCTTTCCTAACAAGCTATAAAGAAATAAACATGTTTCTTATAAAGAAAACATGTTTGTTAAGCAAATCCTAAATTATTGAAACAATTTTAAAAAAACATCCCTTTAAGCTAAACAATCGTTTTATCGTCTCGCTGGCTGTCTCCGATTTAATTATTGGCATTGAAGGCATTCCATTCTTCACAGTTTACGTTATAAATGGTTAGTGTCCTTAAATTAAATTATTTCCAAAAATTTTTAAGGTGATCTATGGCCTCTTGGAAGGTTAGCTTGTGAGATTTGGCTATTTCTCGATTATACTCTCTGTCTAATTTCCATTTTAACTGTGCTTCTGATAACAGTAGATAGATATCTCTCTGTAAGTCTAATTAAAGTTTAACTAAAGAATGTTTTTTAGGTCTGCCACACAGCTTCCTACATAAAATGGCAAACACCTATGCGTATTCAAATATTAATATTTGGCTCGTGGATATTGCCCAGCCTAGTTTTTGGCCTTATGATATTTGGATGGCCGTTAATGGGCAGCATTGAAGACCAAATGTAAAATTACTTGTTTAATTAAAGTTTTAAGTTTAATCTTGAAAAACAAAGTTTTTAAACAAATGTTTGGGAAAACAAGTTTATAAGTAGAAAATGTTTGTAAATTTCAAGTTTTTAACTGTCTTATGTTTGTCTCCAAACATGTTTGTATAAACAAGTTTATTTTTCCCAAAACAAGTTTATTCTTCCCAAACAAATTTATTTTCATTCAAACAAGTTTATTTTTCCCAAAACAAGTTTGTTTTCTTTTTAATTGTTTACAACAAAAAACAATGTTTTTAATGTTTTTAATCATTTAATTTGTTTATATTAGACAAGCAACATCTAACGGGGAGTGTTACGCTCCTTTTCTCGCTAATCCATTTGTAAACATGAGTATGTATTTGGCTTATTATTGGACTACATTGGTAGCTATGCTAATTTTATATAAGGTTTAGATTGCTCTAAATTCTTAATTTTATTAATTTTATAGGGAATTCATAAAGCAGCAAAAAAGTTGGAAAAACGGAGCAAAGCTAGAGAGCATAGACACATTGCCCTTTTGTTAACTCAAAGATTGGGTACTCAGGTAAGCTTCCTGAATTAATAGCTTGTTGAATTTCCTGATTTATCCCAATTTTAGGTCGGTGTAGGTCTAATGCTTCACGCTAGGCGTTACCAAGAAGAAGCCCTAGCTAAAAAACAGCAGCAACCAACTATCGAAATTAAAGACAGTGGATATACTACAAACAATACAGTTTTGTCTAAAAATAAATTAATTAAAAGAATGCCCTTTTCAGCTTTCCACAACAACAGAAACAACAGAAAGGAGAAGAAGTTCGTTTGCAATTCTAGTCAAAGCTTCTCATCGTTTTCGTGGCCGTGGATTTAGTGTATTTAATTCAAATGTTAAGGAGGAAAATACAACAGTAAATAACAATAGACGACATTTAAAAATTCAAACACCACCTCAGCTTGAACGTCTTTCAGAGGATAATAATAGCTTAGTCAAAACGGCAGTGGAAATTAATGCTAAAGAGGAGGAAAGGAAATGTTGGTAGTTGTTTTAAGTAGGGGAATTAAGGAGATGTTTGGAAACATTAAGTTAAACTTAAGAAAATCAGAATTAAAATTAGGTAGAAGGTAAAATACCAGAATTAATAATTTCAAGTTTGAACTTAAAAATATCAGAATTAAACAAACATAAGAAATTAGAATTTAAATTACTACTAGGGAAAAATAACAGAATTAAATAAACTTAAGAAAACCAGAATTAAAATTAAGTAGAAGAGAAAATATCAGAATTAATAATTTTAAGTTTGGGCTTTAAAAAAATCACAATTAAACAAAAATTAAAGTTTTGACTTTAGTTTTGATAAAAAAATATAAGTTTAATCTTGACTTGTAAAAACTTAAAAACTTGATTGTTGTAAAGACCTGAGTTAAAATTAAACTTTAATTTTATTAAAGTACTAAACAATATCGGGGATGGAGAAGACCAAATTTACACCGCTCAATTTTTTGATGTTGATGCAGAAGATATTGATGTATTAGACGATGTTCCTAAGGATATTGTTTGTCTTAAACTTAAAATTATAGAAATATTTTTTTAATTTTTAAGCGCATTGGTCGTTTAATTTCCTTTCCATACACTTCATTATCCACAGAAGTATTTCATGAAGAAAGCTTAACTTCACTTTTAAATTTTTGCCCTTCCATGGTTGGTGGAATGACGCCTTCTGAACACTCAAAATCTTCTTTGGCATCGGAAATAAAAAATAAGGATAAAATAAATTGTTTTAATTTAGGCCAGACTGAACAACTTTTGAAGGTCGAGAAAATTATTTTATATTTTTAAATACCCTAATTTTAATTTTAGAGACACAAATCTCTAAATTTATTGTATTCTGAAACTTTTAAAAATCAGAACAACACAATTTGGAGGTGTAACAGTCTTGGAAGGCAACGAACAGATTTATCTAATTATTTGCCTATTTATGCTCAAATAAAACATTCAAAACAAAGCTTAGCTAGTCAAAAACTTGTTTCAAGCGAAGAATGTTTGTTGAATAGAAAGTAATGTTTTTGTACTTAAATTGGGATTTTTTAAAGTTTTTTACCTCTCACTAATCTTTGTTTTTATAAAATTAAGTTTAAAAACAAGCTTAAGCTTAGAAACATTAAGTTCAAGCTTAAGTTCATATAAACTAAAAAAAGCCAAGTTTAAGCTTAATAATTTTAAAAACAAACTTAAAAACATTGTTTTAAGTTCTAAACATGAGTTCGGAAACTATCAAAAAATCAAGTTTAAACTTAACAATATCAGAATTAATTCTTAAAACTTGTAAACATAAATTTAAACAAAACAAAATCAGAATTAAATTAAAACATCAAAAAAATCAGAATTAGATTAAAACATCGCGGAAAAATCAGAACATTTTCACAACAAATAAATTTTTTGTTTTTCAGAAATTCTGACAACATTCAAAAATGTTTATCTCTTGCAGTTCCATTAAAACACGAAGACAATCAACAAAAAAATTCTGATTCTCCAACAAACAGCAGTAATGCTAGTAGTAGTAGAAGACAACGTCAACACACTATGAGAAAAAGGCAGCATTCTGTTCATCATCGTAAAAGACAGCAACAACAAAAAGGGCCTCAAAGCTATATTCAAGTAACAGCTGAAGCTTTGAATCGTTTTCAACAACAATTTAGTGGATTAATTTTGAGTGGATTGGGGTTAACAAATAGAGGCAAACAAAATTTAGTTATGCAGTTTTCACCTTTTTCTAGTTTTTCAAGGTTGGATTTTATTCAAAAACATGCTTTAATTAAAAATTGAAGAAAATAAGTAACTTCAAGTTTAAACTTAATATCAGAATTAAAAGAAAACTTAAGTTTAAACTTGCTACCAGCACCAGAACAAACTTAAAACATCAGAATTTAAAGAAAACTAGGTTTAAACTTGACAATAGGAGAAAAATAAAAGTCAAGTCTAAGCTTAAAAACATTAGAATTAAATTAAAACAAACAAGTTTCTTAAGTTTGCAAAAACATGTTTTATTCAAAACATGTTTTAAATAAAATGTTTTAAAAACAAGTTTAAGCTTAAAAACATTAGAATTAAATTAAAACAAACAAGTTTCTTAAGTTTGCAAAAACACATGTTTAAACAAAACATGTTTTTAAACATGTTTTACAATATGAGAAAAAAACATGTTTTTAAACAAAACATGTTTTGAATAAAATATGTGTTAAAAACTTGTTTTGATGTTTAGTCCAAACATTTTTATTTGTTTTTCTCTCTTAAGTTTTTCTTCCTCAACACAACCTACTGCATCTAAAAACACAAGTGTTGTTGCAACTTCACAACAAAAACAAGTTCCAACATTGTTGGTAACTCGACATTCTCTAACACCTCAAAACATTGAAATAGTTGAAAATAAAGAAAATGAGAAAATTGAGGAAGAACAAAATTTAGGAGCAAATCAATCTTCAAAATTTTTACAAACACTTTTCTCCCCAATTTCATTGTTTCAAAAAAGACGTAAAAAGACTAAAGCAGAAAGGCGGGCACAAAAAGCTTTTCGAACAATTACTTTTATTGTTGGCTTGTTTGCTATACTTTGGTCGCCTTATTATGTTGTGGTAAGGATATTTTTTGTTTGAAAAATTCTGGCTTATTTTGTGTTTCTTCTAGTCTTGAGAGGGTCTATCTGATTTTAAAAATAATTTAGAGGGACAGAATAAAAATAGGAAATTAGTGGAGAGCTCGTTGGAACAACTACTATACGTTTAATTATGAGATGCTTTCCCCTTGAGGACATATTCTTCGCTTTTATGGGTATTATTAGGGTCGGATTTTTCGAACCGGGCCGATGTTCGAGTCATTCTTTCGGGCTTCATTTTTATCGAACCGGGCACCGAGTCTTTTTTGGGCCAAAATTCGATGCCCGGTTCGATCTATCGAACCGGGCCGGGGCCCCAACCCTATGTATTATGATAATATGAAAAGGACGAGGTTGAAAAATACGGGGGAAGCGGGGAAAATGAGACAAATTTAAAAAAATAATCATTTTCATTTTTTTAAAATTATCTAAAAATTATTTTTCCACATATATTTTTAATAGGCAACAGTCTACGGTTTCTGTAGAGAATGCATTCCAATGTTTTTGTATAATCTCAGCTATTATATGTGTTATTTAAATAGTTCATTAAATCCGTTTGCTTATGCTCTAGGTAGTTTTTTAATTGTTTTTAAAGTTTCAATTTTATTTTTAAGCTAATCGTCAATTCCGCTCAGCTTTTTGGAAAATTTTGAAGGGAAATTTTAGAAAGACTAATTGAAGGGGTAAAAGATCTTTTTTGGCTTCTATTTAATTTTTGATTATTTTTAAATTGATCTCTTTTATTTTTTGGATTTTATTTGAATAAGACAAAATTATTTTTAGAAAATATTAAGAGTATTTTTGTTCAAAATAAAGGAAATTGCCTAAATGGGATAAAATGTCATTTTATGTGGGATAAAATGTCATTTAAAAAATAAACGGGGGAAGTTTTTACGTGGAAACAAGTTTTTGCCTCTGCGGAGGACGGCAATTGGCAAAGAAATTAATGAGTGACTATATGAACTCGGCAAAATAGTTTGAGTTACACGTTTTAGTCTATTTATTGAATAAAGGGCCTTATGTAAGAATTTTTAAACTAATTTCGAAAATTATTTTTAATTGGGAGTGAGAGAGATGCTTTTTAATGAATAGCCTGAAAAGGAAGTCATGTTGAATATACAAGACCAAATTAAAAATATCAGTGCTATAAACTTACTGAGAAAGTCAACATGAGGCTATATTCAATTTTAAAAGTTTTACACCCCGATTTTATATCAATTAAAACGAAAAAAATAGGCATAAAAATAAGGCGATAAGATCACTCAATTTTGTTTCCACAAAAAAATATTTTTTTAATAGTTACACCACATATTACGACGGCGAATGTCAGCCTTCTCCTCTTCCGTCAAGTCATCCTACAAATTGAAAAAAAATTTATTTTTAAAAAATATTGGGCTACGTCAAGTCCAAAAAGTTCTCGAAGCTCTTCTGGAGTCTTATTTCCAATAGCAGCAGCCATAGCCTGGCAACCAGAATAATACTACAAAAATAAGAACATTTAAATTATTAAATTTTAAAAAGCATTTTACCAGAGATTTAATGTGCAAGTAGTTGGCAGCCTTAATATAATTTCCAAGCTCCTCAACACCGACCTAAACAGAAAAATTTTTGTTTGGTTGTACTTTTTGGATGTTCTTTAGTTGGGAACCAGTTCAAAAGCCATTCGACCATGTTCAATCATTTCTAGTCCTATATCTTAGCCTACAGGCGTTTCCGATATGAGGGAGTGGTAAAATTCGACAAGCTCGCCATGACGAATCAATGGAACATTTCAAAAGGCTTTCGAACCGGCCACAAGCTATAGCCATATTTTTAGCACCCTCTTCATCCTTCTCTAATTAGATATTATTACCTTGAGGAAGTCAGTCTCATATTCAGAAAAATTAAGAGATTTTCGCTGTCGAGTAGCTGGATCATCTTCAATTTTAGGATCAGGCTTGCCTAAAAATTAGAGTTTTTAGGTAAAAAGAGACTCATAAATAACCAATATGTTCCCCCAACCATTCAACCACTTTCGAGAAAACATTTGCCTCAACATTAACTGGAAACTCAAATTTTTCCAAGTCCTCAGGCTTCATGTCCAAATCCTGAAAAAATATGGATAACTAAACTCAAAAACAAAATTCAATAATACCTTATACATGTCCTTAAAAACGCTGCTTTGAAGAAGATGCGAAACACGAACACTAATCAACCCTCCATCGCTTGTCTTGCATTTAATCTTAATAAATTTAAAAAATATTTTTCTATCTTCAACAAAAAATCACCTCCATTTTCATCTGTTCGTCAGTAAACGGAGCAGATTGATTTTCAACTGATCCTACACTGTTAACCTCAACAGTATCGGATGAAGCAGCAGATTCAGTCTTAACGGACATTTTTAATTTTTATTTTAGAAAATTATTTGAATATCTGTAAAGAATAAAATTCATATTTATGTAAAAGAAAATGAAAAAGACAGAGATGACACAGAAAATGAAAAAATGACAAAAAAAGAAAAGAAAAGACAAAAATAAACAGAAAAATGAAAAATCACACAAAATGACAGCAAGAAAAAAGGGTTATTTTATACTGGATGTCGATTCAGATTGAAGAGCTCTTTTATTAAAAATTATATAAACTTTGGCAAAAAAGATAACAGATACCCCAAATGAAATCGAAAAAATGGGGGGGGGGTGTCTAAACCAAATCATTACAGAATATTCTAAAATAGAATAAGGAGACTATGCGATGGAATATAATGACTGAAATAAGACTAACACACTGACTACTAAAAACTGCGCCTTTTATACTAAACACGCCGCCCTAACACAGGACATTGATTGCATTTAGGCAATCATTGCTAATGAAAAATAATCCTATACTTTCTTTGTATATTTAAAGGGAAATAAATTGTGTAGTAAATAGGCAATTTACATCAGAATAAATATATAGAAAAGTTTGAATATTTAAAAAATGGCAAATTAGAAAAGGGTCGCCCCCGTATTATAAAAAAGGGTCGCGCCCTATATATCAGTCTGGTGTTTTACGGGATCCCGTCCCGGAAATCCCGGGTTTTAGCGACAAACGGGATTACCCGGATGGTATTAATCCCGAGGGATCCCGTCCCGTACAAGATAAAAATAAAATAAATTGCAAAATGGGATAAACTGTCATTTTAATAAATTGAATGTCATATTGTTAAAAAACGTTTTATCTAAAATTTTTAAGAAATATTTTGATTTTTTTGACTGTTTTTGGTTTTTTTTTCATGTTTTTTTCTAAACTAATTTTCTCATAAAGTAGTCCTTTCTCCAAACACGCGGAAAATTTTTTCGTTACCCTCTGCTTCATTTGTTTGGCTAAAACTGCCCAATTGTTCGCTTTCTCCCTAATTGTCCGGACATGTTTTCTGCGGGTGTCCGGACAATTAGGGAGTTTCTTAATTATTTTTTAGGATCACAAAAAGAAATTTAAAATGAATACCCAAACCCAACAATCTTCTTCAAAAAGTCTACTAAATAATTGTCCTCACCCAACAGACAGTACTTGTTTCCCAACCTCAACAATTCAAACGCCAACCATTTTTGAAAGTATTAATGGGGCTAATGATTTGGATAAATTAAAAATTTACAAATACAAAAGTGTTTATGGAGAAACTGTTAAATGCCAAGTTATTGCTAAAGAAGTAAAAGAAACTACAAAAAATGATAAAAGCCAACAAGAATTGTCAAAATATGGAAATGTTAATAAAAGTGCTTCTCACTCATTTTTGCCGGGATTGGGCTGTGCTTTGGTTGGTAAGTTTGTTTTTAGTAATTTTATGGGTTGGGGAATGGGTGGAATTGGATTTTAGTGGGGGAGTTGGGTTTTGGTGTGGCGTACACCCTCAATGTACCGCAGAGCTATAACTTCGTTCAAAGTGGTCGAATCCGGGACGCCCTAGTATGATTAGATTCAGCTCGTCAAGACGCTTGAACCATTCCAAGGCTTTCCTCGATTCCTACCTGACTAAATTCAAAGTCTTATTGACCTTGATTCAAGTGAACTAAGGAACTCTGAGAACTGACTCAGAATCCGGGCAAAATCTAGGTTAGATTTGAATCATGGTCAATCTCTACTAGATAATCGTTTCTTAAAACGGCCTCTCATCTTTAAGAATTAAAAAATTTTTTTGTCTATTTTAGCATTGTTTGAAGGCAAAGGAAGTGATCGAGGACAAATTGGTTATTTTTTTTTAATTTTATTTTTAATTAAAAAAATTAAAAAAAAATTTAGGAATGGCCACATTTGATTTAAAATCTTCAGAACTTGTACTTTGCCAATTTGTTGATACAAGCTCTTATTCTTTGCTTAAAATTAGATTGAGTCTTTGCGAGCCGTTGGAGGTTTTTTTTAATTTTTTGGGGTATTTTGGACTTTAGGGACCCCCAATTTTACTTATTCCTGACTTTGTTTCTTTGGTTTGCCCTGCTGCCCAAACCTCTTTTATTAATAGATTTAGTTGTACAGAAAGTGAAAATAGGGAAAAATTATAAATAAGAGAGATGGGGCTTTTTTGGATCCCCCCCCCCCGTTTGAGTAGCCTTAAAATAGAAATGGTGTTCAGATTTCCTCAACTCCCCGCCATTTTCATGTGGATCTATTCCCCCGTGTATTCATATTAAGGAGAACTGACATGAGAATCAAAGTAGGGAGGGGATATCTAAAAAGTACCAACTGGGGGTCTCTAAAGCTTAGAACTTTCCCATTTTCTTATTCCCCTCTGTATCCATTCCCCCTGTGTATTCATATTAAGGAAAACTGAGAATCGGAGGCGGGATGTCCAAAAAGTACCAATGGGGGTCCCTAAAGCTTAATACCTCCCCATTTTCTTATTAAAAATTTTTTTCTCCTAAAAAAGATTATTTTGCCTGACGATAAAGAAAAAACTTCCTCAAAAGTATTTATTATGGATTTACTTCAAGACACCTGCAAAAGAGCAAATATTGTCCCAATTCAACGAAAATGCTTTAATGATGCTTTGGGTATTGAATTGTTGAAGAAAATATTTTTGGAAGAATGCTCTAATTTGGATGCTTCTGTTTATCAAAGGTTTGCGGGGGGGGGGGGGGGGGGGTTAGTGGATTTATATTTTAAATTAGCGTTGTTGGTGACCGTTTAGTTCTTGCCTGTGCTCAAATGTCCTCAAAGTCCCCATTTGACCCGCCAAAGACGAAAATTAAACGGTCGCCAATAAACTTAATTTTCGAGCTGAAATTGGGAGATATATGTGGTCAAAATCTCTCAATCTTTTTGAGATTGATGTGAGAAATTTTTGGAAATAAAATTTTTTGGTCAAGTTTAGGGCTTTTTTACTAGTTTTTTTTCTAGTTTTGGATATCCTTTTCCTTTTTAAACCTCTCTATTAAACTAATATTCATTTATTTCAGATATTTTTGTATGGGAGCTGTTGCTGCTTTAATTAAATATGCTGAAAATGCTCATGTATTTTTTTGAATTACTATAAGACAAGGGCGTATCCAGGGGGGGCTGGGGGGGGGCTAGAGCCCCCCCCCCCCCGAAATGGGGGAAAGGGGGAAAAATTAGGAGAAGGATTGTCGAAAAAGTGAAATTTTTTCGCCTACAACCCTCAAATTTTAAAAAATTTTCGCCTGCGGCGCAAAAAATGAAAGAAATCTGACTTCTTGGGCTCCAAAATCCTCAAAATTTTCGCCTGCGGCGCTGAATAAGTGAATTTTTTTGCCTACGGCCCTCCAAATTCAAAAATTTTCGCCTGCGGCGCTAAAAAAAGGAAGAAATCTGGCTTCTTGGGCTCCAAATTCCAAAAAATTTTCGCCTGCGGCGCAGAAAAGATAAAAATTTATGTACAAAAAAAATTGCGTCCGGAACGCCAAGGTAAACGCCAAAAATTTTTGCGCCCACCCAGTGTTAGCCCCCCCCCCGAAACCGACCCCCTGGATACGCCCTTGCTATAAGATATCCCCAGAATTAGTTATAGGTCTTTAAGTTGACCACTGGTAGATTCAAGGAGCTTCCCAAAGGATACCCTCTATTTAATATACAACTCTATAGGATATTATTTTTCAGTCCCAAGAGGGTTATTTATAGTGAAGTCTGCCTCTATTAAAAGATACCATTTTTCATTTTTAAGAACATTTTTTGTGCTCAAAATTCATTAAAATGTACGTTTGTTGCAATGGAAGAATCCTGTATGATTGGTAAAAAAAAATTTTTTTTGAAAATTTTTTAATTTTTTCCAAAATTTTATTTTGCAGATGTAAATAGTTGGAAAAGTCTAGATTTAATCCAAATTGATTCAAAACCAAAAAAGGGTGTTATAAATTCACTTTTCGATGTAATCAATTCGTGTGTTACTCCAGGAGGGACAAAAACTTTAAGAAGCTATTTATTACAACCTTCAGCAAATTGCCAAACTATAAATAAAAGATTGGATATTGTGGAGGAATTGGTATTGAATCAATCGGTTTGTTTAAAAAAAAATTTTTTTAAATGGATAGGGTAATAGGTTTTTGGCTTTGAGAGTTTGAGCCGGTTTATTGTTAGTTAGATTTCATAAAGGGGGAGGGCTACCCAGAATATTGAGGAAGCTTATTCCGGGGAGAGAAAGTATTTGAGGAAGAATATTTTTAAGATTGAAAATGTTTTAATTGTGATTTAGGGTTAGGGGCCCGATCCGGCCTGGTCCGAAAGATCGAGTCGGGCATCAAATTTTGGCCCGAAACAGATTCGGTCGGGCCGAAAAATGTATCCTTGAAACGGAGTTAAGGTTGAGAGAATATAATTATAGACTTACTGGCAAAGGAGAGTTCTTTTTTAATTACCACAGTATTTGAAGGGGAATAGTCAAAAGGTGGAAATGTGTGTTTCACCTTTGGTCGTTTTATAAAAGAATTTTTACCTGCAAGCCTTCCTTTGAACGGAATAGGTAAAATGGGGGGGGGATTACTTTAAAGAAAAAATTTTTTTCACTCAATAAAAAAAACAATTTTTTTCATTTAGATGTGTAGCAAAATTCGAGCAGTACTTTCAACTTTATCAGATCTTCAATATATGATTTCAATGTTTTCTTATACAAATTTGTCTAATAATAATTTAGGAAAAGAAGATTCTAAACGAATTATTAGAAATAAAATTGGGCAGGTTTTTTTTATTTTTTTAACTTTTAGTTAATTCTGTTTAAGGCAGTCTCTTTAAAAAATATGCTGGATGCTGTTGAAAAACTTGGTTTTATTATGTCACAATCTAGCTTGTCATTTTTTGTTGAAAATAAAATGGTTTTCCTTTTAATTAAAAAATTTTTTAAAAATTTTGTGCGAACTCGAAATTTCGAAATTTTTTTGGATCTCGAAATTTCGGAAAAGAATTTTGAACTCGAAAAATCGAAAAATTTCGAGTTCTTTCGATTTTTTGAGATTTGTTAATTAAAAAATTTTTTCTTTTATAGAAATTAACAGATTGTCGTTTATCCAAAATTGGCGAGATTGTGAATAAAGTAATTTCAACAGAAGTTAATAGTCGAAAAAGAAAGGGGTATGCCCCAATAGCTAGAGATTATGCATTATTTGCTGTAGCAGAAAAACAAAATGTTTTGTTAGATATGGCTAGAAGAGTTTATCAAGAATTGGTTGAACGTGTTATGGGTTTGTTTGTTTTTTATATAGTTTTTTAAGTATAGCGTCAAAATTTGCTTAAATATACGGGTTGGATTAGGCGGTGAGGGTAATTCTTCGGTTCGTATTCCCCCTCCTTTTTTCTGACCATTTTTTCATTTTTCCTACCCTTTATCACTTATTTTTCATGAGGCAAGTATCATTTATGAGAAATATTTTTTTTCGAAGGATAAAAAAAGAAACATGATACCAAAAATTATAAAAAAACATGAGAAATATCATCAAATCGTTTTCGCCACAGAAATTCAGGAAGGCTCCATATTGGGTTATTGAATGATTTTAATGTATACTTGACTCATGAAAAATAAGTGAGAAAGGAAAGGAAAAATGAAAAAATGGTCATAAAAAGAGAGGGGGAATACGAACCGAAGAATTACCGCGGTGAGTTCTCTACCGCGAGTCTTTTTTCTATTCTTTGGCCTTCCGTCTTCCACTTTTATAAATGAGGTCTCTTAAATAGAGGTGTAGCAGGCAGCTTTAAAGACCCTTATATTAACTTGGGATGTAATGAGGTGAGCCTTAAATTGGCAAGTTTCTAATAGTGGGAACCTTCTTTATAGTGGACAACAAAATTTTAGAGGAGCGTGCCTTAAATAGGGGTGTATCTGACTAGTATTGCCTTGAAGTCCGTTTTTAATATAAATTTTTTTAGAATATGCTGGACACGAAAGAGAAGAAATTTCTGGTGCACAAATCAACTATTCCCAATCTAGAGGATATCATTTTTCTTTACATACAAAGGATCCTTATAGTGTTAAATTACCAAATTATTGTATTCAAATAGTTCAAAACAAAGCTTCAATAACTTTTACGACGAGAGATTTAATTAAATATAATGGTTTTTTATTTAAAATTTTTTGGGGTTTTTTAAGGGTGGTGTTCTCAAAAAGTCCGCAAGTTTTGTCCGCAAATTTTTTTTTTATTTTTATTATAAAAGGATATATTTTACTAGTCCCAGACCCGATGATGATTTTTATTAAGCCATTCATAGACCCTGGACAGTCCCTTTTCTTTTAAAAGTTTCGAGTCGTCTACCCATATTTATTTCTTTGATAAATAAAATTTGCGGACAAAACTTGCAGACTTTTGATAATACAAAGGAACAGAACACAAAAATTTTTATTTCAAATTTTAATTCAGATCGTTTAATCCAATCAGAATGCGAAGTTTTACAAATGAGTAATTTAGTTTTGGAACAAATGATTATGAATATAAGAGTATATTTACCTTCACTTTATCAGTGTGCTGAATTAATATCTTTATTGGATTGCTATACTTCTATTGCTTATTATTCTAATAAAACTAAAACAGGTTTTTTTATTTTTTGATGTTCCCTTCACATTATAAGTAGGGTGAAGGGAACATTTGTTTTTGTAATTTTTAAAAAATATTTTTTGATGTTCCCTTCACACTGGATATAGTGCGTGGGGAACTTGGGTCTATAATTTAAATAATTTTAAAGTTCCTTCCACACCATAAGTAGGGTGAAAGGAACATTTCTGTAATTTTAGATATTTTTGATGTTCCCTTCAGGGCCCGTAGAATAAATTCGGGGTAAGGGTTATTTAACCCCTACCCGAGGGTCAAATAACTCGCAACCCGCAGCATAAATTCCTACACTGAGTTCAGGGTTAAACAACCCGGTAGTTTAACCCAAAACCCCGAGTAGCTTTTCACATTGGTAGAATAAATTATTTACTCGGGTCAAATAACCCTCAGCTAAGGGTAAAATTGCTACACTGGTCGAGGGCAGTGTAGCAGGGTAAAACGCGTCTCGATTGCTCTTTTCCAAAATATATTAAGTTTTCAAAATTTTGAAAAAAAATTTTATATTCAAAAAATGAAAAAATATTTTTGAAAAATTTTTTTTGAAAATCCAGGTTTGGATCGGGTCTAAAAAATCCGGATTTTGATCCGGAAAGTCTAGTCCGGATGAGAAAAAATTAAAATCCGGAAACCGGATCCGGCATTTTCAAACTTCTAACTCTAATGATTTTACTTAAAAGTTAAAGCTGTTTAATGGAAGTTCAATATAGAAATAAAATTAAAGAGTTACTCGCGAGTTACAGTAACCTCTAGTTTGGAGTAAAAATGCGAATTTATTCTACGGAATTTATTCTACCAATTTTACTCGGAACTCAGGGTTATTTAACCCAGGGTTATTTTACCCGGTTATTCAACCGGTTATGTTACCCCGAATTTATTCTACGGGCCCAGACTATGTACTGTGAAGGGAACATTGGTTGTGTTATTAAAATTTTTTTGATGTTCCCTTCAGACTATAGGTAGTGTGAAAGGAACATTTTTCTTATGTAACTGACAGTTATTTTATTTTTTATAGTTCGCCCAAAGTTTTCCAATCATATAAAAATTATTGATGGTCGACATCCAATTTTAGATTGTCGTTCTGATGTTGTTCCAAATAATACAGTAAATTAAAAATTTTGCCAAAAATTAATTTTTTTTAATTATTAAAGTTTCTTTCTCAAAAAGATGGACGTTTTATAATTATTGCTGGGCCTAATATGGTTTTTTTAATTTTTAAAAATTTTTGAAAAAAAATTTTTTTAAAGTCAGGAAAGTCTACTTATATGCGTCAAGTTTGTCTTTTACAAATTATGGCACAAATGGGCTGTTTGGTACCAGCAGAGTCTGCAACTTTTATACCGATGACGCATATATTTTCACGTGTTGGGCATAATGATGATCTTGTAAGAAATTTGTCTGGATTTTCTGTTGAGGTTTGTGAAGAAATTTTATCAGGAAAATTAAGGTTCCCTTCACACTACATATTGTGTGAAGATAACATCAAAAAATTTGTGTTCCTCTCACACTACATATAGAGTGAAAGGAACATTGAAAAATTAATGTTCCTTTCACACTACATATAGTGCGAAGGGAACATAAAATTATGTTTCTTTCACACTACACATAGTCCGTAAGGAACATCAAAAAATTTATGTTTCCTTCACACTACACATAGTGCGAAGGGAACATTAAAAATTTTTTATGTTCCTTTCGCACTACACATAGAGCGAAGGGAACATTGAAAAATTAGTTTGAATAATTCTTAATTAGATGTCTGAAATGGCTACAATATTACAAAATGCAAATCAAAGTTCATTAATAATTATTGATGAATTGGCTAGAAGTATGAAGATTTAAAAAAATTTTAGAAAAAATTTTTTTTCTAAAGGTACATCAACTGAAG